ATATTTTTATTCGTCGATAGAACTTGTAACGGTGAAAGACGAGTATTCACATTCGTGGAATCTCGAATGCAAAATTTTATCGATTTCGAGAATCTCTCGAGAAAACAGCGCGTCGATGGAAAATGCAGTTTTCGAATCCGTCGAACGAAACGCGCGTCTGAATCGCAACGCGTGCCTTACGAAACAGCAATGCGTAACGCTGCGTTATTTCCGTTTTTCGCGTCGTAAAAAAGATCCGCGGGAGTTCGCGTAATCGCGATACGAGAATCCGGAGCTAAATCGAATCGGCGGCAACAACAGCACGCTCAAAGCGTATTTACGTTTTACACCGTCTCGGCATTTCGAGAATATCTCTCGACGCTATATCGGATCTGCTACACACGTATACGTGTACGTGCGTGTGTATACATATATATGAGGGTACGATTCGTGTATACCCGAACCGAGGTCCGCGTCTTTCCGCGAGGAGTTTTCCTCGGAGACGCGCGAGGCAAAAGCGTCACCGCGAAAAGACACGCCTGCGGCCCGGTAAATGAGAAACCGTGTAGGAACCTTTGTCCTCAAAGCTCAACGAGTCGAGAGAACGGAGTCGAACCTAACCTCAACGGCGCTCGCTCGCTCGCCGCGTCGCGTCGTCGGCGGCTTCCGATCGTCGATCGGTCTCGGACGATCGCGCGGATCGCGGTCGAGGGGGCAGGGGGAAAGCGATCTGAGCTGAAGACAAACGTATTCCGAGACGGGGAGGGAGGGAGGGGAAGGGGGACGCGCTCGCGGGACTCGGGAGAGATCTCGCGCGACGAACGGAGAAAGAAGATCGAGAGAGCGAAAGAGAGAAAGAGAAAGAGAGAGAAAAAGAAAGAGGTGTATGTGTGTGTTTCGACTTACCCTCGGGTCTCGTGGAAGTGTCGGAGGTCCTTGAGGAAGTTCTCCCTCTCCTTCTCGTACGTGACGGGGTCCTTGTTGAGGATCTTGGCCATGTTCGCGGGTACAAAGTGCGCGCGAGTGCGGGCGGCGTGCTAGTCGGGGTGGTGGTGTGCTCCGGGCTTACAGGGCACGCAGGGGCAGCGGGCAGAGAAGCAGAAGGAGGTGCAGCACATGGACGCGCACGGGGGCACATTTACGACGCGTGAAGCGTCCTGCTGCTGCTGCTGCTGCTGCTGCTCTCACGACGCACGGCGACGGCGACGGCGACGGCGACGACGGCGACGACGTGCGGTGGCGGAGGCGGAGGCGAGGACGAGGACGACCGCGGGTCGACACGGGGTCGCGACCCGCTCCCGACATCGGGTCGTCTTGTCCTGCACCGAAGTCGGCCGGTGGCCTCTTCGATACCGTCTGTCTCTCGCGCTCTCTCCCTCTCTCTCCCTCTATCTCTGTCTCTCTCTCTCTTTCACACTCTTTCTCCTCCGCCTCTTTTCTCTCGCACGCACACACGCGCACAAACACACACACACGCGCACACTTTCCGTCTTTCTCCTCCTTTATTCGTCGTCCGCAACTCGCTCACTCGCTCTCGCGCTCGCGCGCGCGAAACGAGACGGCGACGACGACGACGACGACGGCGGCGGCGGCTTTTCCCTGCCGTACCGCCGCCCCCGGACTGCCCGCTCGTCGCCGCGTAACGGCGTACGACGCTCCCGCGGGGCGTCCGCGCACGCCGCGTGCACGAAAAATCGGGACGCGCCACCGGCGGGGGGAACGGGACGGGACGATTCAGCAGCGGGCGTGCGAGCGACGACTCGCGCGTTCACGCGCGTGGAGCGCACGGCACAGTACGGCACAGTATTAGCACAGTACGGCACGGCACGGCACGGCACAGTACCGCCTCGGCTCGGCTCGGCTCGGCTTCCGATCCGATCAGCTCCGCTTCGCTCCACTCCGCTCCGTTTCGCTCCGCACTCTCGGCTCTCGAGACCGCAACAAACGCGACGACGACGGACGACGACGATGACGAACGGCGAAGAGCCTTCTTTGCTCTCTCTCTTTCTCTCTCTCTCTCTTTCTCGTAGGCCCCGATCGATTCACCTGTCACTTGTCAACGAAACTCACGGGGATCCGTCGCGCCACGGCACGCACCACGCCAGCAGCCGCCTCGCGTTGCCCGGCCAGCTCGCGTAACGCCCGAATTCGGCCCGCGCCGTGCGAGTTTCTCCCCTAACGCAGGCGGCGGCGGTGAGAGCGTACTCGCGTAGCGCGTTTCACTGCGATGGCGAGGACGAGGAGGCGCTTGACGTGCGCCCGTATATCAAAATGGCGTCCCGTGCTGCCTGGCATCCATTGGCGAAGCCACCGCTCGGCCACGTTCCCGTATACGCTACCGCCCGATCCGCTACGACGGCGCGCCGCGACCGACGGGGCACATATACACACAACACCGCGGCGCGCACCGTTTCCGCTCTCACCACCAGTTCACCAGTACCACACACGTCGGCGCACTGTCGGCAGCGCGCGCGCGCGCGCGCTCACGCCCGCACGGAACACGGACACCTCTACGTCATTTTACGCGCGGACACTCCGCGCGCGGTTAGTTAAGAGGCCCCGACCCGCAACGACGGCGTCTGTCTTGCCTTGCCAGTGCCTGCGTCCCCACGGGCTTTTTTACCCTCCGCGCGGCGTACCGTCCGCGTCCGACCCCGACCGACGAAAATCCCGGATCGCACAGTACATTTTTACTTTCAAAATGGATGGGTTCCCCCACCGCCGCCGTCCGCCCGCCGTGCGCGCACGGTTTGAATTAACGCCCGTGCCGGACGCTGGGCGCGCGACCTGCCTCGGCGCCGCCTGCCTCCATCTGTCGGCGGCCGAAAGAGGCGCGGCGGAGCTGACGCGCGATTGGCGCGAAAGGCGGGCGGATTCGAACGTCGCGACGCGTTTCGTTGGAGAATCCGACGTTATCGTGCAAAAAAAATACTCGGCTCCTTTCCCAACTCTCCTTCTTCATTCCTCCACTTTGAATTTGGAAATAGGAGACTGAGTTTTATGAATTATATAAGATAAATAACAAGACACTTGAAAGATAAATTATATTATAAAAGTAAATAAATGTACCCCTATGAATGTTGAAATGTAAAATTGAAAAATAAGATTAAGTAACGCGAAGTAATGTAAATTAAGTAGACAAACATAGATGTGATGAAGAAAAAACGAATAAAATATTGTATTACACGGAAGTCTATCGATCCAAAACCGCAGGGCAGAGATCAGTAGAGATTAAGGCTGCAGTTCATTTAATACTAGAAATGCTTTGAAGTGTTCTTCTTTTTCTTTCTTCACTGAAAGAAAAGAGAAGAGAAATGCTTCGAAGCATTTGTAGTGTTAAGTGGACCGTAGCCTAAATATAAATATCTATCAGCAATTTCAAAACTTTGCGATATAACCGCTCCACAAACGCCATCGCTTCCGATGCGCTCGATCGCCTCGATCATGCGGATACGGAAGTGGCTGCGTGCAGCGATTTTTACGAATTTCTCGCGTGCCCGTCGAATTCGACCGGGGGTGACTTCGTAGATTCTCGACGATGACGTACAAACGCAAGAAGTATCACAGAGGCGATACGCATCTGAAAAAAGGTTGGCGAACGAAACGGAGAACGAAGGACCTGGACGAGGTGAGTTTACACCTGTTTGCGCCGATTTTGTGTAACCATAACCTCTTCGACACGTGGCCGGCCCGCACCCCGCGGACGTGTCTCGCGATCGTCGCTCGCCGATTAATCGCGTATCCGTGATTTCTAGATCGACGAGGATCTGAAGGAGGAAAACGTGAAGAAGCTGCTGAACCAGGAGGTGGATTTTGACAAGCCGGGAGCGGCGCAGCATTACTGCGTGCATTGCGCGTAAGTCCTAGTGCGATCTAACCTAACCTCTCGCGCAAAATGATTAACGTGAAAACGACAAATTATTACAAGTTTCAGTTATTTTGTGCTGTGTGACAGTGAAGGGAGGAAGGCAACTCCTACTTGATAACGCGAGAATTGAAATAATTGAAGGGGTAAAAGCCACAGTGGTGTAAGTCAATTTTTTTAAAATATTGACTCGTGCATAGATGCAATTTGCATATTGTATAGATTGCGTCTATACAATTAATTGCATACGAGTCGATATCTTGAGAAATTTGACTTACACCACTATGGCTTTTACCCCTCCAATTTCAATTTGGTACTTGAGGAATTAAATAAATAAACATTTATTATTATTTGTATAGAAATTATTTTACTTCCACTGTAACGTGAGAAAACTTTAACTTGCATGTTTTCATCAGATATTCCGTGAAGAACAATATTATTACTTTTAAAGTATGTTTACCTGATAATATAGATTAATTTTAAGAGAGGTTAAATCTTTCTTGGTAGAAATGGGCAAAAGAATGTTATTTCAAAATGACGTACTATAACTAGCACACTGTCAACTAAATGTGATTAAAGAACGGAGATTAAAGTTAATCTACATTGATAAAGATAGACATTGGAGTAACAAAATGCTTTTATGAAATATAAAGAACAATATCTACATTATTAGAACTGAGACATACATGATTTGATTCTAGGAGGTATTTTATAACCAACGCCGCTTTGCATACTCACTTCAATACCAAGGCGCACAAACGGCGAATGAAAGCGCTTGAATTGGAGCCATATAGTATCGAAGACTCGGAAAGAGCGGCGGGCAAAGGAAGTTACGTTACGCCACAGAAGCGAAAGATCGACACCGTGACCCGGGAAGACCTTGATAAAAAGGACATGGATGCTGAGCCAAATGCTAAAGTGATGAAAATAAACGAATAGAGGTATCTCATAATTTATTTTGAATTGCCGTATCTTCACTATGACGTGAGAGAACTTAAATTGGAACACGATGACTAACAGTCTATGTAGATTCACTTACGCTTTAAAGCGTACGTACAGAACTTTGATGCGCGATGTTCGTCGAACAACTTTCCTCTCGAGCTTCGAGCGACACTACAGTTCGGCACTGTACATTTCCGGTAATAAAGCTTACAAAGCGTTCGCGTATCTGTCTCCGTATCTGGACTTCGATGAAAGATTTGCCAATGTGGATAAACTGCGGAAGAATCTAGCATCGCGCGGGATGGACGTGGACATAGATCAATTGAAGGAAGCTTGGAATTTTTATATAAAGATGATCGCCGACAAATACGCGTTAGAGGACCACAATACGGAACTCGTCGATCGCGTGAAAATCCTGCAAAGCGCCGAGCATACTGCCGAGCAGAAGCAGGAGGTGCACAAGTTGCGTACGCAGTTAAGGATCATACGGCAAGATGTAAAGACGATGAAGCAAGCGATCTGGGATCTGGAAGAAGACGTAATAGAAAGGGTATTGAAGTTGCCAAATGAGTTGGATCCTAGAACGCCTGTTGGCGAATCGGTGGTAATGAAGAGCGTCGGCAGCGCGACCAAGATGTCAGAGGAGAATAGGAGGAGTCACGTCGACATTGGCACGAGCCTCGACCTGCTGGAGTACAAGAATCCTATTTGTTATTATTTAAGCAACGACGCGGCCTTGTTTGAGCTCGCTACCTTGGCGCACGCGGGCCGAGTTCTCGGTGGGAACGATATGGTCAGGATAATCGGTACGGATTTCAGCCGCAGTCTCCTCGTGGAAGCGTCCGGTTTGAATCACGAGGATCCTATGGCCGCATTCGTGATACAGGATCACAACGAGGTCGAGAGAGGCTCGCCGAATCGCATGCATCTGGTCGGCGGCGCAAGCTTGATCTCTTTCCTGGCGTTGCATACGAAGCAGCTGATAAATCCCAAGCATTTCCCGCTCAAGTACTTCGCCACCGGCAGACAATACACGCCGCAAAATTCGCACGCCTCTGGTTTGTTCGCGGCGTGTCAGGCTTCTGTGGCGCATGCCTTTGTCGTAGTGAAGGACTCGAAGGGCGAAGATTACAGAACACTGTTCGAGGAACTTTTGGAGACCGTATGCGGGTTGTACGACGATCTGTGCGATCACTACCGCGTCGTTATGCGATCCGCGTCCGAATTACAATCCTGTGAGGAAATGCGCGTATCTTTCGAGATGTGGTCGCCGTTCTTGAATCAGTACATCGAGATCGGTCATATATCAACATACGGTGACTATTTAAGCAAACGATTACTGATTGCCTATCAAACGCCCACCGGCAGGGGCTTCCCCGCGATAATATCGGGCACTGTTCTCTCCGTTCCGCGTCTCCTAGCTTGCCTGCTCGAACAGAATCCCGATAGGTTCGTGATTCCACCAAAGATTGCTGAATTTGTACTGTCAAACGATCATGTTGTAAATTAGTAATAAAAGAAATTTTTGATATTGCTTTATTAAGATATCTTATTTCGTAAAAAATAGACAAACTTTTCAAGTCTCATCGAAAGATCAATGCCGTAAAATACATTGGAACAATTGATAATTAGAATACGAATTGTAAACACGACGAGACAATATTTTTAGAGTAGAATGTATCAGTAATGTATATTTAGGAAATATATACATAGTATACATAGTATTTGGTTTTTGTGTACAACGTAAGCGGTATTATCTGTTACTGTCAGGTTGCTATTTTACAAGGTACCGATCGATGTAATGCAAAACTTCGAAAGCTACCTCCACCATAATAAGTACGATAATCATCCACTCCAAACGAACGTGATGACGATCACTTAAATGCGACGATAAAATGCTCACCAGTTCCAAGCAATGATTTAATCTCTCGTTCATCACCTACATAAAAAATATATATCATACAAAAAATATCAGTGTCATACAGAAGGCAACAAGACATATATTGAACACTTACTCTCGTACGTTTTGCGATGCTAAAATATCCACATATTCGTTGATACAAGCTTTCCAAGTCGTCTCGTTCCCAGTAAAAATCAGGTGTATCTAACAGATCTGACGTTAGATTGATTCGATGTCTAAGGGCGAATAATTCGCCCTGTTTTCTCAACACCTCGTGCTGCGTCATTCGAATTTGCTTGCCAACTTTTAGATCCTCCGTAACGAATTCGATTGAGTCGACATAGCGGTTCAACGATGCTTCCCATATCCCTAACTTGACGGACTGCGCCATGGCATTGGAGAACGTGTACTTATCCAAATTCCCAGCTTCCTGCGCCAGGATAATATCGCCATCCTTCAAGTGGCTCTTTTTCCTATTGGATACCGAGAATTACTAAATTTATTTTGGAAAATATTCATTTGTCTAAGTTCTTTACAATTTATTTCACCCAGTGAAGTTCATGAGAATATAAAAGCATTTGGTAATGAAAAAAAATAGTAAAGGTACCCAGAATCTGCATAAGTATAATTCATTAACTCGCTCTCGGTATGAACCAGCTCTTCCATGTAACGATTTTGCTCATAACGTCTCAAAAATTGCAATAGGTTGCCGCATTCGAGATCAGAAATGTTCCACATAACAATGCTACCTTCTCGGAAGAAAAAGATCTCTCGTGGTTCGTGCCCTACTTCGTACTTGGCCACCGCATGTATAACGTCAGGCAAGGCTGCAAAAAAAGAAGATACAAAACAAATCAAATTAATTTTAATTAATTCTTTGACTTGGAAGCAGTAGGAAGGATTTTATTTATTTTAATGATAGAATGAAAGTTTTGATTGGTAAATACATTTAATTTCAATATATTTGTACATATGTGTATGTGTGCGTGTACATATATTTGTGTACTTATAAATGTATAAAATGTATAAAACGTATAAAATTTCAATTCATACAAATTTCAGATTTATGATAGAAGACAGTGTATTGCTTTAAAAAAGGAATGACGTAACGTAGCTGCATAACGAGTATAATTTTTGCAATTCAATTCATTTTATGCATCAGTCGATTAAAAACGGGCTGTCGCAAGCACCTAGACCGCTCGCTACACCGCCTTCATTATCAGTGGATAATTTAGTTCTCAACATGTGACCAGCTTGTTTGTTCAGTATAATATTCTTATCGTCTCCAATGATAACGCCGAATATGCCTAACTCCGAGACTAGCTCTTTCGTCTCTAAATTCATATATCCGTTTCCATATTTCACAACATAATTTCTGTGCACCGGTGGATAAATCCGATCCATAAGAATCCAAGCTACTCGAGTTTCTTTAGATTTCACAGATTCCAGAAAATCCTTGATATCTGTCCCGTACAAGTTATTACAACCGCCTTCTCTCTGTGGTTTCAACACGAAACGCTGAGGATTCGAGATACCCATTTCTACAGCGGCGTCCCCATATTTGTCAAAGTCCAGAGGATAAAGACCTGAAACGAAAAATCGTATATTTGATATTTTTGTTCTGTATATAGTCTATATAATTTCACTTTACATGCAATTAAATAATAAATATTATTACACGTTGCATTATTAATATTAGTAAACATTTTTCTGTAACTTATTCCAATGTATAAGAAAACAATCGCCTACCAGTGAATACTTCTTTGACTTTCGCCGCCGTCTTCTCATCCTTTAAGAAACGTGCAACCATGCCGGGCTTTGCGAGAGTTTGTTGAACCTTCTTCGTGCCGGCCAAGTGATATTGAATACTCGGGCATTTGATTGCTAATGACCTCTCGATCAGCAACCTCGCGTCCCATTCTTTTTGAGTGTGATACTGACCGGGCTCGTAGCCGCATCTATAGTAAACTACCGCCACGACATAATTGTTCACCATTAGCTCCATATTGGAGCCCAGTCTCGCAGTGGCCGCTAATTGCGTCAGATTTCTACGAATTACTTTTATATTCGGATTCTGCTTTCGTATTTCATACTCGTGAAAACGTTGATCGCAAATATTGTACGTAATATCTTCGATAACAAATAAAATAACTGCTCTGCAAACAATCACATGTTTTTGAATATGAGAAAATTGAAATACTCCACCGATGATAACGTAAAATAATATAACTGGTAAACAAGTTTGAGTAAATAACGACAAATTGCAAGATTAGAAGTAAATTTATAAAAATTACAAACGTACTGTGAGTCGCCGTATAGATTCCACGCTTCTGTCAAACCCGAACACAGTGCTTGTAGAGCATTATTTTCAGGAAGATTTTTCAGCTCGGCCGTGTAGCCGAGCTCTTGCAAGACAAACTTATGTAGTTGCGTAGACGCGGGTCCTAGCCAACCAAATCCAGATGCAATTGTATTTATCTCAACTTGCTTCCAGCAACAGTGAGACTTGAGCCTTTTAGTGTCTTTCTTGGGACAACTTGTGTCCAACATAAGATCTGAGCGTAGCATGCCAAGGGATATTTTCTGTGCGGTCCCTTCCTTGCGAATAATCTCATAGATATTGAACAAGTTTTTAGTAAAGTCATCCACCTTTACAGTCTCTTGCAAAGTATCTTTTAAAAAATCGTAATCGTGAGCTACTCTATGTATGAGTACATTCAAAATGATCTGGATATTACAGGCGTTATGAAACTCCTCTCGGGGGAATGGCGACGGGAAAAGCGTGAACGGCGCGAATTGCAAAACATCTCTGTCGAAATTTTTTTTCGATCTCAAGCACATTCCATTCATGAGCGCCCAATCCTTCGCTTTGTCTACTAATTCCTCCAATTCTTCTTTTGGCAAATCCAGAGAGATAGGCAGTTTCATTGTCGCTTGCGTGTCTTCCTTCATCCTTCCAAATTAAATTATCCTTTAAAAGTTTGGTAATTATGAAGGAGAGAGGCTTTCTCACCGATTTGGCTGAAACTTGACAATTTTGTGTATTTTGGTGCGTAAAACATGAATCTATAAGTTAAAATTGTCGCTCTCAATTAGGAAAAAAGTTATTAAGTACTAAAATTGCGTAGTGATGTAAAAGAGCATGAAATTACAGTAATAGTGCAGTATAAGGGCAATCTGTCCTATAATACTCTGGCACCTTACTATACGTTGTATTTATATAAACTTTTCAATATACCAATTATTTTCTGCTTTAAAAAAAAAGCATAAACTCTATTTCTATTATCTTTTTTAACCATGTATGATTACACCAATTATTTTCTGCTTTAAAAAAATAATAAACTCTATTTCCATTATCTCTTTTAATTATATATTAAAAAAGATAATAGAAATTGAGTTTATGCTTTTTTTAAAGCAGAAAATAATTGGTATATCGAAAAGTCTATATAAATACAAAGTATAATAAACACAAAGTCAAATAATAGCACATAATTAAGGTAAGGCGCTTAGGCGCCAGACTATTATAGGACAGAGGTTGCCCTTGTACTGCACTATTACTGTAATTTCATGAACTTTTACGTCACTACGCAACTGTAAATTTTAGTACTTAATAATACTTTTTTCCTAATTGAGAGACAATTTTAACTTGTAGATTCATGTTTTACGCATTAAAATACACAAAATTGTCAAGTTTCAGCCAAATCGGTGAGGAAGCCCCTCTCCTTCATAATTACCAAAAGTTTCTAATTTCTAGGTACGGAGTACGCTGTTATTTTACTTTGTTTTTTTTTTCCCAATTAAAGCATCTGAATCGATTTTTAATATCTCTTCATAAAATATGGTATACAGATATGAAGCTTTGTTAAGTTGGATAAATAAACAATGTTTATTTTGACTTGCAATTATGCACAAAGATAAGATATTCTTCACAACGAAAACCGTACGAGGATTCGTAATGAAAATTATAACAATCACTTCACTGTATTTGATAGTTCCTAATTTATTATATTATTTTTTGAAATAATTAACTTCGCGTAATTATATATATATGTATATCAAAATAAAAAGAACATCAAATATATCGATTTACTTTGAGATAAAAATTTCACACTCAAATTTCACACGAAATTCTCGTGTAATCACAAGCTTACCAGTCGACAACTTAAGTATGGTGTCTGATAGCACTGACGATTCCAATTAACTGTCTGCTCTTTATATGCACGAGCATGATTGAGCGACGAATCAAACGGGCGAACGGGACAGTGATAAACTCGAAAAGGTCGATACACTCAGTGTAGCTTAAAAAAACTTACGTTCACTTCGAGCAATCTCACGAAATCTCTCGCAATCTCGCGCAATCTCACGCAATCGCTTACTCAACTCTTTTTATTGATATTATTTCACAAGAAAAGAAGAAAAGAAGAAACGTCGAGAAACCCCAGTTAGATTAAAGATACTTACGATCGGTCGATGTAGATATTTTACTAGGAATATACAACTGTTGATCCAACAGGCCGTAAGCTAAAGCTTCCAAATTATATTCCTCGGCGGTGGCTAAGGCTTTCACGCTCCATGCCTATATATAATAAAGAAAATTTCTTTCACACATAATTCCTCTCATTTTTCTCGTTTACAAGGCGATCGCGCGAGGCAACGCCCCTAATTCCTCATACAACAAACTTACATTAGACTTTAGAATCTTGTCACTTATCGCGACTCTGTTTCTCCTGGACGGTCTCTTTTTTATTTGAAACGCGGATATGTTATCTACGACCTCACGTTCGTTCTCTTTTGCGTTAATTCGTTCCGAGCGGATTGCAGAATCGTGAAAAGATTTCCTGTGAATTACGCACGTGTAATGCGCGGGAGGGAACCAGGCGTTTATCACTGCCGTGCTTCCATGCAAGATCCTCAGGCTCGACGCAACCCTTCGTAATCCGTCAATGTCAATCTTACCTCGGCAGCTCGATATCACAAGCCTCTGAATCATTGCGAGACTCATTTTATCAGATTTTTATTAATAAAAGTATACCTATTACGGTGCAAATACCTCTCGGGTCTTTGGACAAAACTGGAAGGTAACTCGTGTGTTTATATATATACATTTATAACGCACGTACGAGCATCATCATCTTGCGACACTTTGTTCACTAATCGATAACGTTCTTCAAGCCGATATTACTGTCAGTCATTATTGTCATTTAAAATATGCATCGTTTACATCACACCGCACGTATGTACCCCACGTTTCGCTGTGAACGAATTTGAGGTTATGTCGTGGACAAACGCCAGGCAGGTTATGGTCGTCTTTCCGGTCATCGTCGCGGAAGTGGCGCTGCCCGACGCCCACGCGCCCAACCCTCTCTTTACGTCTTGCACGTGGAAATTATTGGAGTACTGGTTCAGCGCTGATCAGTTTTGCTCGATATAAATTGGTTATCTCGACCAGTACGAAGGATCAATCATGGTAAGTGCTTCGGGCAACGTTGTTTTAACAATTTTAGAAACTTAATTCTGCCGTGGCGACGATATACGTGTCGTACGCGTCGCGTCGGGTCGCCGATTTAGGTTAGGCGAACCGAAGCCGAACAGGACCCGCTCCGAACAAGCGTCCACGCGATGTATATTTGCAAAGTATTAAAAAAAAAGAACTGAAATTGTTATTAATGTACCGCGAATACTTTGTATATTATGTCTGTAAAAGGATAGATGTTCTTTTTTTTTTTAATTTCTCAGGCGACGACCAAGGTCGATAATCCCGAGAAACCGGGACAGGAGGTCACTCCCATTCATCGAATCCGTATCACCCTCACGTCGCGCAACGTTCGGTCCCTCGAGAAAGGTGAGTCGAACTCAAAAGTACCATTTATTTTTGGCAAATGAAATTATTCGGCTAATTATTTGACAATTAAATGCTAATAACTTATTATTATTTTTGTTTCAGTGTGCGCGGAATTGATCAATGGAGCAAAGAAGCAAAAATTGAAGGTGAAAGGACCTGTTCGCATGCCAACGAAGATCCTGCGAATAACGACCCGCAAAACACCTTGCGGCGAGGGTTCGAAGACCTGGGATCGCTTCCAGATGCGAATTCACAAGAGAGTGATCGATTTGTATTCGCCGTCGGAGATTGTGAAACAAATCACGAGCATCTCCATCGAGCCTGGCGTAGAGGTGGAAGTGACGATTGCTAATGAATAAACAATGTCATTAAAACTACAGTTTTAATAAAAAATACAGTTTTAATAAAAACTTCAAACGTATATTGATACATCTGCAAACACCTACATTAATATGACCAAAAAAGGCTCAAAACACATTTTAACATTAAGAACCGCGTTTCTTTTCTTTCTGTTTTAATTCGCAATTATTTTTTAAATAACACTCAATTCATTATGAACGGATAATTGGAACAATGCTATGGAGTTCTCTTTATTAAAAATAAAAACATCTGCCTTCAGATCGTTTATTGTATACCAAGTCAGTAAAAAATCTCGTTTCCATATAAATTACAATAATTAATTTTTTACACCTTTCATGTTCGTATTTATTGAAACATCATGCTGGCATCTCCAGCAAGACAGTAGAATATTTTATTCAATTCTACCTGCAATTGAGAAACACATGCGAATATCTGTCGGTTAATCGAATGTGTACTTTATTATTTTCACAAATATATATATATTTATATATATATTTATATCTATATATATGTAAATGTATATATATATATATATCTTCAATTTTCTTCCTCGGACAGATCTTCTTTGTCGTCCTCGTCGATCGCTTTGCCATTCTGTTCAATACCTTTGCTGTTCCGTTCGGTACTTTCACCACCACTAAAATCACCCTCCATTCCTTCCAGCTCATCCTCGTCGTCACCGGCAACCTCCGCATTTTCGAGTTCCGCTCGTTCCATCTGCCGCGCCAATTCCGCCTCGTCCGTCGCGGTAACGACTTTCGGCTAATATCACAGACAAGAAACGACGGTATAGTTCCCTTATTACGCGAATGAATTAGATTAATATGCTCGTCCATGAAACTTACTGCCATTTGAACATTGAATACACCACCAAGCGACGTTATCTTACTCTGTATGACTTCGATGGCGTCGCCTAACGCCTTTAAGCCGTCACTTTTTTCCGGGGTGGACGTCGTCATGACTGAAATGATCATATATTATATAAGATAAAACATTGTGATCATAGTGCAATTGATTCGAAAGATAAATGTAAAACGTACCGTATAACGGAGGAGCAATTAAATTAATTTTTATGGGAAGTTCGTCGGTGGAAAGAGCTAAGCCAGCCTTCAGCGCGGTCTTCACAGCGTCGATTCCTTCGTAGCCGTAACACGCTACTTCCACGTCCGCTCTAATTTTCACCGCTTGCGAGGTGAGTTTTCGCTTGATGTTATTCAGTAACACCTCCTTCGTATTTTCATCCAGACCGCATTCGGCTAAAATGGAGGGATCCCTAAAATTGTTCACATTCACAGATACATCTTCTAGATATACCGGAATACATCTCGTTCTTGTAAATTGGATTTTGCTTACAATACTGATTGTTTGAAAAAATCATAAGCCGACGCCTTCTGCTTCTTGTACTTTTCCTCAAAGTGCCAGGCCGTTTTCTGATAGAGTTCCTCCAGCTGATCATCATTGTCGTAGTGCAAAAGTTCTGCCACGTGTCTTAAAATTGAATTAACAGCTTTAGCCTTTGCGTATCTCTCGGTACACTTCTCCACATCCTCGGCGGACACGCGGCGCTTGCTCAGATCGATGTAACCTGGAATCCACGATATATATACCTTTCGTCAACATTAATGATTTATGTAAAAAACGTCCGCAATGAAAACTACCTTTCTCCTTGTCGACACGAATAACAACGACCGGTTCGGTTTTGCCTACTCGGATAAGTTTGTTAATAGACCTAATACGTCTCCTGGAGAGTTCAGAGAGCAGGATCATGCCTTCGATGTTGTTGTACTCCAACAAGTGCACGTACGCGCCCATCTCGGCTATACTGCGTACATTCACCATCACCACGTCCTCCACCTCCGGATACTTTTCCTTGTAAAATCGACACGACAGCACCATGTTTCACTGAAAAAAAACACGTGAGATCGTACAATACGGATGGCGTTAAAAACGACACCCTAGTGGTACGAGGAAACGGTATTTGGCAAAAATATATATATAACTAATCATTTATTTTTTCGCGAGGAATGCTAAGTTTCCAGTCGAGCTCGTTAATTGGAGAAATGAGGGTGATAGGTTAACTTGTAGGTTAGTATTCTGAAATGTTAGTTAAAAAAAACACCGATATCGTTCCGATCGTTACCTAAATAATTATTCTCGCGCAAAGATAAATCCTGCCTATATCTGTACGAACGGATTGAGTATAGAATTGCGAAAAACCACGCGTAATTTGTTGACTTAAGTTACCCTTTTTATGAAGAGACGTCGCCCAGCGTGGTTCATTGATCATTGATCTGTTCTCATTTACACCTTTTACACTTTTTTAATGTTGAAAACGAAACGAGAACGAATATTTCCAAGTACGACGGAAAACGGAAGTGTGTAAAGAAATGGATGAGAAAATATCCGATTTTTTAAGCCAAAAATTTATGACTCTTCAAATATTTATGTAAAACATAATTTTTTTATTCACAAATTATTTAACAGCCATAAAAAGATTTATTTGTATTTTCGTGCATTTTGCACAAAAATGTAAAACTCCATGGTGAAAATTTTTCTTTATTTAAAATGATTTTTTTTATACATTTATTAAAATTATTTTTCAAAATTCTTATTTATACGAATTGGAACATTTTCGGAAATCTGAAAAAGTCTACATTTTTTCTAAAATTGTTTACATTTAATTATGTAATTTTTGAAATATTAAAAAATTTCTATTTTTCTATATTCTATAATTTCTGAAGAAAACTTTTAAAATTTGAAGATAAAGAATAAGTAGTTAAAAATAATTTTTTAGAAATATTTACAAATTTAAAATATGAAAAATTCTAGATCTTTTATATATATAATTATTCTATAAAGAATAATTTTGAAAATTTTTTAACTTCAAGAATTAGAAAAAGATAGAAGTAAATTAAATGGAGATTAAAATTAATGTATATTTTAAATTGGTAGAAATAGACATAAGAATTAAAAAAAGATAAAAATTAAGTTAAACCGAGATTAAAAATTAATCTGCATTTATAGAAACATTCATAGAAATCGACGATTCGATCCAATCGATAGAATTGCTAAAAATTTCCAATTGGTGATTGGCGATTAGTCCTACGAGTGGCAATCCGTCTGAACGGATCTTAATGGTCCGTTTACACGAGAATTGGGCTCGGCGGGTACACCTGGGTGAAGTTTCCGAACGCAGCCCAAGTATCATACGAATGATACGAATGTCACGATCAGGTTAGAGGATGGCAGCAACAATTATGATGATCAACAACGGCGGCGACAGCGTGACGATGACAGTATTGACGGTGGCACGCGTTGTCACGAGCCGCGCGTAGTCGCGGGACGGGAGTGCTCGGATTGTCGCGCGCGCGCGCCGCGTGCGAGAACGGGGACGTGACGTGAGAGACCGGAGAGGCGAGAGAGCGTCATTGCGCCCCGAGGAGGGAGGCGTCGACCCTTCGTTAACCCTTTTCCCTGGGAAAGAGGAGGAAAGAAAAACAAAATGCCGTTGGTCGTGAGGAATTGCCCGCATCTGGCCAACCGCGGCGATCTCGCCTTCATCGAGGCGGTGATGGCCCGGGACGAGCGCTTCGCCAAGTGCAGCGACTGCGACACCCCGGGGCCCAATCTCTGGCTCTGCCTGTTCCCCGACTGCCGTTGGGTCGGCTGCGCGGAGACCCACCTCGATCACAGCACCATCCACAACCAGAACTTCCCGACCCACTGCGCCCACATGAACCTGTCCACCAACAGGATCTGGTGCTACGCCTGCAAGAGCGAGGCGATCACCAAGCACGTGCCGTCGCCCCCCTTGTCGCCGACGCAAATCGAGTTCAGGACTATCGGCAACAAGTACGCCGGGGACGCTCCTGGCAGCGTCGAGTCCAAGCTGGACGGCTTGGACAGGCTGATGCTCGACAAGTAAGCCAAAAGTTTTGTACAAACTTCCAATGCTAAAATGTTTACTCGCGCATTCCTGTGCATTCTTATTCTGAAATAAACTGTATTGTTGAATTAAAAACAGTCTAAATCTCGAGAACTCGGTTGATTGATGATCTTAGAGTGATTATCGATTATTGATTTTGTTCATATTTTCATTTAGTAGCAAGCATTCGTTCTGAGTAACTATGATATATATGTCCAAGCGAATGTGAATTAAGTTTAGAATTTTGTAATAAAAGAAACTTAATGTGTCTTTTTTTTGTCAACAGGTTTTATGGAGATTGGGCGATAAACAGAGTCAATGCTGAGAAAGGAAATTCATTTAACGAACGATGCGGGGATTCTCCCGATAGTACGGATTCGGACGAGAGCAAGGACTTTTCTGGGAAGCCAAGGGGTCTGGTGGGCTTGCAGAACATCGGCAATACGTGTTACATGAATGCGGCGCTACAAGCCTTGTCCAATGTGTCTCCCTTGACGCAGTTTTTCTTGGATTGCGGCCATATGGTCTGCTACATGTCGAAAGACAGGAAACCCGGATTGAGCCTGAACTATCTGAATCTCATTCGGGATATGTGGAACAAGAAAACCAGAGGATACGTTGTGCCGCACGGTATCCTTTCGGGCATCAGGACGGTTCATCCGATGTTTCGAGGGTACCATCAACATGACACGCAGGAATTTCTCAGATGTTTCATGGACCAGCTGCACGAGGAGCTGAAAGAGCACATCGAAGACGACAGGGACGTTCAGCTGCGACTAAAGGGGCTGGGAGACCAGTCCTCGGAGGACGAGGACGAGACCGAGATCGACGGTAATGCCTCCAGTCAGTCCGACGCCGAATACGAGACCTGCGACTCGGGCGTGAGCGAGCAGAGTTCTCTGAGCGACGAGGGCGAGCGCGGCACTAAGAGGCGTTACTCGCGCGTGTCGCAGACGGAGAAGCTGCGGAACAAGTTCACCAACAGGAGTATGAAGAAGTCGAATGTCGAGCCGACGTCGTTGCCGTTCGCCCCGCCGCAGCGCTCGCCGCAAAACTCGCCGGCCAAACATCGTACCAAGAAGCAAATGAAGACGCGCAGCATAATCAGCGACACGTTCGACGGCAAGCTCTTGAGTAGCGTGCAGTGCCTGACGTGCGATCGGATTTCCACCCGAGTGGAGACCTTCCAAGATCTGTCCTTGCCGATCCCGAGCCGAGATCACATCGACATGCTGCATCAGGGATCGCTGACGCCGCAGAAAGCCGGGCCGTGCTCGGACGTGGTCTACGTGACCAATCAGTCGGGCTGGCTGTCGTGGTTCCTGCAGTGGATGCGCTCGTGGTTCTGGGGACCAGTGGTCAGTTTGCACGACTGCCTGTCAGCATTTTTTAGCGCCGACGAGCTCAAGGGCGATAACATGTACAGCTGCGAGAAGTGCAATAAGCTGCGCAACGGCATCAAGTTCTCCAAGGTTCTGGAACTACCCGAGATACTGTGCGTTCATTTGAAGAGGTTTCGCCACGAGCTGATGTTCAGCTCGAAGATCGCCAACTACGTATCGTTCCCCCTCGAGGGTCTCGACATGAGGCCTTATTTGCACAAGGAGTGCGTGTCCAAAGTCACCACTTACAATTTGATATCGGTCATTTGCCACCACGGCACGGCCGGCGGTGGCCACTACACCTGTTACGCGTTAAATCCCATCGCCAACAAGTGGTACGAGTTCGACGACCAGTGCGTCACCGAGGTGTCGCCGGAAACGGTGAAGCACTGCGAGGCGTACGTCTTGTTCTACAAAAAATGGTCGCCGGAAATATTGCAGTTGCGCGACAAAACTATGGAGCTGATGGAGATATCGTCCCGCGAGGTGTCCGATCTGAACTTTTTCGTGTCCCGGCAGTGGATCAATCGCTTCAACACGTTCTCCGAGCCTGGTCCGATCGATAACTCCGACTTCCTATGTCCTCACGGAGGTGTAATCCCTGTTAGGGCGCAATTCGTCGACAAGATCAGCATGCCCATACCGCAAGCGGTTTGGGAATACTTGTATAATGCGTAAGTCTCTGTGATGATGTTATTATTTCTTTTTATATTGTGCTTTTATATTTATATGTAAAATTTTCATTTATTTTTTCAGATTTGGAGGAGGCCCAGCCTGCACGCATCTGTACGAGTGTCCGACCTGCGAAGAGAAGTACGAATCCTTGCAGAAACGTAGACAGTACGAGATGGAACTGTTCCAACGATTGAATACTGACAATCCCACGGCCATTTATGCATTGGCCATGGCATGGCTGAGACAGTGGCAGAGCTTCGTCCGAGGCAAGGAGACGCAGCCACCTGGACCAATCGATAATAATTCCATCGTTGTAAATAAAAATGGGCAAAATAGTCTTAAAGTTGGTAAGTCTTCCTCTATCTCGACAAATAAGCAAGTCTTCTTTCATCTCGAAACGATTGTCAAGTCGTAATTGTCAGATTATGAAAAAGTTTTATTTTATTTTTCTTTAACACATTCTCCCTTTTCGTAGGCTCGGATTACGGTCAGATCCCCGAAGAGTTGTGGCAATTCTTCCTGACTACGTACGGCGGTGGACCAGAGCTAATGCTGCACTCGTGTCAACGACCGGTGCCCGCTCAGCCTAACGTTTCTATACATTCCGCGTCGAATCCAAATTTGATAGATCCGAATCTTAAATGCAATCGCGTAGAAGCTAAAGCCAACAAACTTTGTACGACCAGGAGCTCGGAGACGATTTCGCAACAGGACAGCGCGATCGAGAGCCTAATTTCGAGCAGCGACTCCCATCAGACGCAGAGGGACGTGAGCGAGTGAGTACGTCGTGTGCGAATTGCAATTTTGCAGCCTCGTTCACCGCGACGAACATTTCCATTGGTTTCCTTTAAGTTTAGTCTCTAAGTAATCAAATTATTCTACTTTCGAAATTCCACGCTTTCGAAGTTTCACGCTCAGATCGAGAGACGGCTTAGCACTTCCTTATTAGATTATTACAGACGAGACGATCTCGATACCTTTGGAAATGAAACAATCATTGTCTTATTTTTTGAGATTTGACGATGAAAAGACAATCGGAATACCTTTTATACCGGTAGCGATTTTTGTACGAAATTTGTGAAGCCGAATCGTGTGCGTTCATGTGCTAAAACTGAAAGTAATCAAATCATAAGGAAGAAATATATGCGTATATGATCGAATGACTGCGTTTTGTCGTAATTGTAGCGTGATATATCTTGACGGTAATTACATTTTGTCATAATATATATAGCGACATATTAATCTCGCTTGAAAAAAAAAAACAGAACAGAACGCTTGTTCCTTGGTTCTCTATGGGAAAGAGCCCCCATTGAGGAATGCCACACTCTCGAACATGTAACACGCTCTTCTTTTATTTCCAAATCGTCGGTTTGGAAAATCGAATGACACTGATTGTTTTAGGTCCATTGTTCTGACGCTGTAAAGTCGCGATTCAGCGATGCTCGTTCAGCGGCGTGGAATTTCACCGTACAATTTCATCGATGGGAATATTGTATATGATGGGTCAACGTAGTTATAGTACAAAATAATTTTTGCTATACATAGATGACTGTATTATTTAAATACAAATCTTAGCTCGTACCTTTTCTTTCGCCCAAAGTCTAGGCCGTAACATCGCGCGTAACCTCGATAGATGTATCACATATTTTCGATGTTTGTACATTTGCCAACGTGCGCGTGTGTGTATCATTCTTGCACATAAATACCAGAGATGGCTTTCTTTTTTCTCCTTCACTTTCGCGAACTTATGTACATAACGTCGTTACTTTTTCTCCGTTGGTGGTAGCTTCTCATCCGGAAAGAAAGAAATAAAAGATATGGAAGACTGACAAATATCGATTTTATTTAAAGAGAAACTTTCAGTTAATTGTACGATTTAGCGGCAACCGAGTCACGAGATCGAACGCAATCATGCAATGAACCACGATCTTTTTTACGTTTTGTTTTTAAACGAAGGAAATATTGTTGTTATTTAGTAAATTAATTGATGTACACGTATCTTTCGTAATATTCACCAGAGCCAACGAGGATTTCTCGTAGCGTACGATTCGCTGATTTCTTTCGCCGTTTTCAAACACATGAAACAGTTGAGCTTGGCAATTATTTGTATAAGCGACGAAACGTGCTTCTTAAGGCTCCTGTTTCCTACAGCCGCGTTAAATTATGACATAAGAAAGATAAATCATTGGAATCTCTTCTATATGTCGAGATATATTAGCTTTTCGCGTGCCATTACGTTAAGCATAACAGAAATCTTATCTTATCTTACTTTATGCTTTTGCCTCCTGGCAAAATTCTGACATAATGTTCAAGTATTTATTAACCATCGTCTGTATTACGTATAAAAGGGAGAGGATTGTTATGGTTTAGAATATTTGAGGATTAATTTAAGGTATTGAGAATATTTGTGTTCATGATATCTATATATGTTAAATTACAACATATATTCTCCATATGCTTTTGTGATAAATATTTTAAATTTTATACGTCACGATTTCTTGCAATTCCTAAACAAATAATTTCAGAATTATGTAATGACTTGGCTGCATCAGAATTATAAAGCATTACATTAGTCTAGAAGCAGGAGATTAGTAAAAACGTTGAGCTAGCACTTAGTGATTATAAATACTTGGACATTTTGTATTAAAAGTGCACACGTTCTCTCTCTTTCTAGTACTTAAGAAGCGTGTTCTATCGCATATAGGCCGTTAATTGCGTAGTTTAATTACTTTATATGCTCGTAGAAAGAAAAGTGAAAAGAATCGCGAGCTCCTCGTGTAAGCTCAGCTGTGTCTTCGTGGATCCTATCTTGTTACCGAGGACATTTATCCTTATAGCAACCGTTCATTTTAATACCACAATTGCATATTGCGAGGAAAAATAAAAAGAAAACGCAATGCAATGCGAGCTCCACCCGCAGGGACGCAAACAATTTAAAAGAATTGTTAAGGCCAATTTTGTCTGTAATTATTATCCAGAGCGAAGCGCATAAGGTGAATAATAAATAAGTTGGTTTCTTTATTTATTGAAACATCCGGACTATGTCATTTCCAAGCGAAGCGTGCATGCGTTTCTTCGTGGTCTAAAGTATCCTAATTTATTTCTTATAGCTATGGAATTTTAATCGGTTCATCGTGGCTTGATAAAAACTCTTCGCAAGTTAGAAATTCGCAATTGCAAAACGTCAATTGAATCACGATTGATCAGATATACTACAATTTTGAACCTTCGAACCACAATATCGCTAAAGGATTTCTTCCCACGATGCTGCTGCATAACAACTGCAATCTCATTCCGTAAGTTTAATTAAGAGCGCATCAAGTTCTCGATGTCTAATCTACTTTATCTATTTGATACAACAAGATTGTGTGGTTAATAATAATACGAATAAAGTGATCCAAGCGTTTCTTCGAAGAGACAACTGTATCTCTCTGTCGTCGCGGTCATCAACCCCAAATCCCAACGTCGTGTCTCGCGTCAGCTTCACTCACGAGAAGCGTGCGATCTGTTTCCATCTTGGAAAGGGGAAACGGGATGCGAGCGGGATCTACAATCGCCTCCGCGATTAATTCGAGCGAAGTCACGCATGATGATCCGCGTATTTGCGCGTGGCTCAAGGGTCGGCGGGTCTTATCCCACCCCCGTTTGCGAGGGGGTGCCTCGCGGATACACGGCGCGGGAGGCACGCGCGAGATGACGATAACGTCTCTCTCTTTCGCGGAGAGCATCGATCGAATCCTGCGCATTCGGGGGAGGCTGGCCATATTACCCCCGCGGATCTCCCCGATCCCTTGAAACGCCGCCGTGGTCCCCGCTGCTGGTCGATGCCGCGGATCGACGGGTTCGCCTCCGCGATTCTGGCTTCGCAGGCCGCGGTGTAGATCGTACGGGAATCGTCGTCATCATGCGGCTCCACAATCCGGGTAGTTAGGTAGTCTCGCGTCTCCCCCGTCGTCGTCGTCGTCGTCGTTTCTCGACCTCTTCTCCGCCTTATTATTTTCTTTCTTTCTTTCCTTCTTGCGTCTTCATGAAGCCTCGCTTTCGACCGGGGCCGTTTTTAGTTTAGTCTCTCATTTTCGCGCTGCGCGAGGCTCGAATCGTCGGGGAATCGAGGAGCCGGGATCTCCCAGGAGGAACATCCGAGGCGGGCACCAGATTCGCCATTTGGTAAGCACGATTGTCTCATTGATAATGCCAGTACGAACTAATCTGTAACATTAAGGACTTTGAGACTTCTATGTAATGAGAGAGAGAAGCCCTCCCACCCTCCATGCTCGATCTACCCACAAACGCATCCCCCTTGCACGTCCCCCTCGTTCCCCTCGTTACTAATTTAACACATTTTACTCACCACTGGCATATATTCTCTGTATTTGCAACACCTGCAAGACCCGGACGATAAAAATTTGGATAGCCCGAAGTAATGTCCGACACCCCATTTATCTCGCTGGGGAATGCTATACTTCACCCCCTACACCTCTTCAGTCACTGTACCCAGTTTACGTGCCGGGCCGCGTCTGTAAGGAATTAAACATATCCGCCGTAGAAGCAACAGATAGGGAGAAATGGCGAATTTCCGGGGATTTTATATACCCACCTTCGGCGCAACGGTCAACGTCGCCTGGGAGACGTTGAAGGCCATGTGGCCGGAGAACAGTCCGTGCATGGAGCTGATCCGCGGCGGCGGCGGCGTCGGCGGTGGCGGTATGGGCCAGGGCCATCCCCAAGGCCAGCCCGGCCATGCCCAGTTCAAGTCCTTCGACGAGGGTCACGACAATACCGAGATGATGACCATGAACGGGGATCGGGCGTATCGAGATCAGAACAATGTCGGGATCGCCGAGGACTCCTTCAGCTACCAGAGGAGCGGGTAAGGATCGCATCGCGTTTCCCAATCGGAACTCACTTCCCGTCTCCTACCTCAGGTTTTAATTCATCATCCACATCTCGCTCCGATTTCAGGGACAAAGTTCGAACCGGGAGCGTAAGCAGCGGTGAGTTCAGCGAGTACGACGAGGGTGGCGGAGAGTTCGGCGGGCCAGGTGTCAAGATCAACGAGTGGCAAGCCGCTTGGAACGTTACAAATGCCATTCAGGTACATATGCAGGATCAAAAACGGAGTTTCCGGTAGCTCTATGCGAAATTCTTTTCACTAACGTGGAAAGAAAAAATAAAATTTGTATCAGAAAAATACAATTGTACAATAATTTTCTACAGCTTCTGCCTTTGAATGGAAGACAATATAGAATCTATATCCATTTATATAGAAGCTGAGAAACGTTATTGCGATGTTGTAACATTTAGTTGTGAAAAGTCTCGTCGTAAAAGGAAATGATTATAAAATTGTATTTATCCGTGAATCATCCGTTTTCATGCGAATTTTTCAGGGAATGTTCATCGTCTCTCTGCCGTTCGCCGTTCTACGTGGCGGTTACTGGGCGATCGCCGCGATGGTCGGGATCGCGCATATCTGCTGCTACACCGGCAAGATCCTGGTCGAGTGCCTGTACGAGCTGGACACGGTGACGGGGCAACGTGTGCGGGTACGAGATTCGTACGTGGCCATCGCCAAGGTGTGCTTCGGGCCGACGTGGGGCGCCCGCGCCGTCAACATCGCGCAGATCATCGAGCTGCTGATGACCTGCATTCTGTACGTGGTCGTATGCGGCGACCTGATGATCGGCACCTTTCCCGAGGGCGCGATCGACACCCGCAGCTGGATGATGTTGATCGGCATATTTCTGCTGCCGCTCGGCTTCCTCAAGTCCCTGCAGCACGTATCCGTGTTGAGCTTCTGGTGCACAATGTCTCACCTCTTCATCAACGCGATCATCATCGGTTACTGTCTCCTGGAGATTGGTGACTGGGGCTGGTCGAAGGTGAAGTGGACGATCGACATAAAGAACTTCCCGATCTCGCTCGGCGTCATTGTCTTCAGCTATACGTCGCAGATCTTCCTGCCGACCCTCGAGGGCAATCTCATCGATCGCTCCAAGTTCGACTGGATGTTGAACTGGAGCCACATCGCCGCGGCCGCGTTCAAGTCGCTCTTCGGCTGGATCTGCTTCCTGACCTTTCAGAACGACACGCAGCAGGTGATCACGAACAACCTGCACTCGGCCGGCTTCAAGGGCCTGGTGAACCTGTGCCTGGTCGTCAAAGCGGTGCTCTCGTACCCGCTGCCGTATTACGCGGCCTGCGAGCTTCTCGAGCGCGCCTTCTTCCGCGGCCGGCCGAAGACGCTTTTCCCGACCATCTGGACGGTGGATCGCGAGCTCAAGGTCTGGGGCCTGGCCTGGCGGGTCGGCGTGATCGTGTTTACCATACTGATGGCAATCTTCATACCGCACTTCAGCATCCTGATGGGCTTCATCGGCTCCTTTACCGGCACCATGCTCTCCTTCATCTGGCCCTGCTACTTCCATCTGAAACTGAAGAGGAACTCGATGGAGTGGAGCGCCGTAGCGTACGATTGCTTCGTCATCTTCCTCGGTATTCTCTTCGGCGTGATCGGCGTCTACGATTCCGGCTCCGCGCTGATCGATGCCTTCGAGATCGGCCTGCCCTTCTGAGCGATCTCGCGCCAGCTAGGTCCTTTTGTTGTTCTTGTCTCGCACCAAAATGATATTGCCGAAACGTTCTCGAGCCGCTGAAATATTTGACTCTCGAATTTCAACACGTTGCTCGGTACTCGTGCAATAATTGCTGATGCATGCGGGAGACTACATAAAATTCAAAACAGAAGAATGGATAATTGAGAATTTTGTGCTTTGGAAAAAATTTGAAATTTTTCTAAATAACATTCTGATTAATAATCAACGAAGCTTGTTTTTTTACAAAGTGTACTAGTACCAAATTTAAAAAAAAAAATGTATATTATTGCGAAGTCCTTTTTAACTATAAACGCAATTCTAAAAATTTCATAAAATTATAAGAAATGTCTCTGATTTTAAAACATGTCAGTCGAGGATCAAATATTTCACGTGCTCGAGGGTGATTAATTAGTATGAGAATTTTGCATTGCGTGTAACTCTATACCTATTTCCTATCACGCATCATTTTAACGTCTTTATTATTTTTACGAAATGGCGCAATTATATTTCTTAAAAACGATCTTTAATTGATCAAGCCAGTAAAGTGTAAAAGCGTCTCCCCATTCGTGTAAAAATCTATCGCACGATCTGTGCTTTCGTAATGGCACGTTTTAGTTTTTCACGTCGCAGATTCACATTTAACACACCAATTTTCCCAGTTATGATAGCTTCGAGCGAGCTGACGTTTAGAGACGTGAAAAATCAAAATTAGACGAGAACGTACTATTTTCTAAACCCAACTGTAGCGTTCTCTTTTTTCAGAAGGAAGATTATTGGCTCCTTAAGAGCCGTTAAAAATTCCGTTGTACGTTTCACGTTTCGGCCGGGATCGCGACGTTTCTATAAAGCGAGGAATTTATCCATTCGTCAAGTCTTCCAATGCCCGATTTATGCATTTGCATTTCGGGAGCCTTTAGATAAAATGAGAGATCAAACGCGCATTGAACGTGTGACAATAAAGCACGATAAGTAACGATGTCTTCCACGATGCAGCAGCAAGCAGAGCGCAGCCTAACTAGTAGTTGACTACTGTTACAGTTTTCTGGATTTTATAATTGTATCGCTGCGGAGTTACATACCCGTGTAATAATTTTTATGCGACGCGTCGAATTGTGAATCGCGACGACGGGACGGACGAGCACGACTTTGTCATGCTACGTTAGCGACAGCCTTTTAGCCGATGATGAATCTGCCAAATAACTTTTTGGAATAAAGTAGTCCGCCGTGCGCCGTCCCGTCGCCGGAACAAACGAGACGCAAGACGATGCGTGAACAGTTATGTACAACCGAGTACAATTAGTTATATAATCCAACGTCTTCCAAGATCGTATAGATCGTTAGTTTAAGGAGTATAGACAATGTAGTCGTTCCGTGAAACTGCAGAATGCCGCGATGGCTCGAGAAGTATTTTATATACGGGATACGTCTTGTAAAAATTTATTCTGTACGGACAATTAGCAACGTGCTACATTTTTTTTTCAAGATCCAGAAATGAGTTTATAAAATTTTGGACTCTTGACATTTATGGATCCTCAAGATAACTAATGTTTAATGGCGTGGATGCTTGATTTGATAGATTTTTAGATTCACAGATTATAGACTCTTTGAATAATTGAATTGGTTTTTGATAAGCTTTTGGATATGTAAATCTTTTAAAAATACTCTTTCTAAAAATCCTTGAGATCTTGCTTTTTTTTCTTTCCTCAAAGCCACACGAGCGTTCTGCAGACACGGGAAATTCGCAGGCTAACTAAAACGCGTTAATAATCGTGAAACGAGTCTTCCAATAATGTCTTCCAGAACGATAATATTGATAAAAATAATAACAATATCGCTATATGATAATGATGTATTACTATTTATTGAGCAAAGAATCTTTGTCGAATGATATTAAGCGTTATATTGAGAATTGTAGACGTTAAGAGTTAACTCATAAGTTACGGTCATATGCATAATTGATGTTTCATATCAATGAATATATCAATGACACATAATGTAAGTAAAGTCACGCTGTTCACGAAATCAATTTAGATCGTTAACGAGGGATCATCCTACTCCATTGTATCAACAATAATGATCAAAAGTGGTTGAATGAGAATTGCGTTGGTATCTTCTCTTCGTGATTATCGAACGACGATAGATCGGTAATGTTTGTCGTGTAAAATTTAATTTTGCTTTTTGATATATCGTGCGAAACGAGAGAGAGAGAGAGCCTCCCAATAATGTCTTCCAGAATCTCTCTTATCGGCCTGAGAAAAATAGAATGCTGCAACATAAAATCCGTTGTAAAATCCAGAGAAATAGTTGTTCCAACTAGATAATGCTAATCACGATGAGATACTTCGAGATGATGTTCTGACGCGGACGAAACCAAGCACGTATAGGCTTCCAAAGCTCTTTTGCAGAAATATTCATATATTTCGCGGCGTTTTCGCAAAGAGCAAACCTCATCGGTGTGTTGTGTAGGCAGAATATACCTATAAACGTTATAAAATGATGTAAAGCGGCCTCCGTATTATGAAAAAAAATATGAAATACATTATCCGTATGAGTACGAGGAGTGATAATATATTAACAAAATTTTACGGGCGTATTTTACTTCACCCGGTATAATATAATACACATATTGTTTCTTTACAGAATCACACCTGCAAGAATTTGTTTTCAACACAGAATTAAATTTTGTTTTGAATTGCTCTTGCTTACTCAGATGCATATATTTGTAACAGGAAAAGTGAAGGATAAATTGAGTGGATATTTCATTAGTCAACACATATATATGTAATTAGATTTATTAACAATGCTTTATTACTATTTTTCACAATAGAATAATCTCAGAAATGCTATGACTGAAAGCTATGACTGAAAGTAACAGAATTACGGAGGCTTGAAATTCCAAACATTATGGATATGGCAACGTCACTTTTCCTAACAAGGAAAATAAAAAGTTTATATATTAGACAACAGAGTTAGGTTCAAAAGAAGTGCTCTTGAGAAAATCTAAAATTCTCACTTATGCATTATCGTCGTTTCCGACGAGCCTAATTACTATCTCTAATATGATATATGAAGTATAAAAAATTAATAATCGAATATGTGCGTATATTCTACATGATTTTACTCCTTCGATGAAATTCAACTAGATCAATTCAGATATGATTTTCAGTCGCATGAGCCTCCAGGAGTTACCTAATAGTATGTCAACGAATCATACAAGCAACGAACGAAACAAAGATTAAAAAACAAATATTAATGCAATATATAAATAAAAAAATAGATAGATATATATATATAATATATAAATAAATTCAAATAACATTGTCGATCCGTAAAAGTTACTTTTGCTCTAATGTTAGGTATAATCATTGTTAAATCTAGTTAGAATTTGTTAATTTCACAGCTGTTCTCGATCTGAAACATCCCGTTTTTTTTTATTGCTTGTGCTAAAATATTCTTTGATTGTCACTTGAACAGGAGTGAATTTTTCTTTCGGGTTACATTTCATATAAAAATTCGGAGATGTCATACACAGTAACTTTGCTATTTTTTTTCTGTTATAAAAGCGCTGTTTCTGTTAAAATTGTGCACGTTATATGTATGTATATATAGATGTCCCAAATTTGCTGTGCCACCCGTTAATGATACCTGAGATAAATGCATGAGATTATTTCAAGACGAAAATTCTAATACCAAAATGCCGAGGCTATAATATAGTTTTCAAATAAGTCTTCAAAGAAGACGTTGGCCAATCAAGTTGTCCGAAATTCGCACGTTCAGTCATGTCACGTTGCACAGTAGTGAAGATATTTTCAAGCGCATCAATTCATTTATTCTTTTCTCTAGAATTAATGTGCTTTAAAACACTTTCATTATATACCGCAATGTGACATGCCTGAGCGTGCAAATTTGATTGGCCAACTTTGAAAACTTCTTATTTAAAAACTATTAGGCATTTTGATATTAAAATTTTTGTCTTAAAATAATCTTAGGTATCTGCCATTAACAGGTAACACTGCAGGTCTGGAACATCCTGTATATATGCATACATATATATACATACATATATATACACACGTGCTACATATAGCATACTGCATATATGTAGCATTTACATAGTACTCGAAATTTAGAGCAATCTTAAGAGAATCAGAGAAATAAAATTAAACATATATAACAGAGTATTTATATATATGTATATATATAAAATTCTGAAACAAAAAAATATAATTACATACAATATATTATCACTCGGCAAACTTGCAGTCATCCACGTAACATTCTCGAATGCTTGTTCCAAAAATAAGAATTCGTTGGGAACTATTCGAATAACTTGATTTTCTCAACTCGTATATTGCCATAAAAATTAACTTTTGAAATATATATCACGCATTTCAACAAATATTTATAAAAGCTTTGTCTTCTATCAGACGTTGTCTATCGGTAACTTACAGTTACATCATAACACTTCATACATTTTTACTTCACACTTCCCTCTGTTATTTTTTTCATTTTTGGTCACTCAAAGCTACCTTTTCTTCTTCTACGTGTAAATCCTCTCTTAGAGATTCTATCTTATCAACTACAATGCTATTTGCAACGTCAATCTCTCTCTCATTATTATCTGTGCGTTCTTGAGTTTTATTAATACATTTTGTTGAATCTCGTTTATCGTCAGTGTTAATCTTTTCGTCTGTAATAGCAGTTTCATCTTCTATGGCCAAATTTTCTTCTTCTTTTAAGGCTTCATCCTCGCTTCTCAGTTTATCACTTTGTTCTGCTATACAATATACATCGATTGAAGATGGAATCGTAACACTGTTTACTTCTTTTTCTTCTGGAGAGCTTTTCGTGTCGTGCTCAACATCGTTTTCTTGCTCACTCATATCGTTAGTTTGTTTATTATCACAGTTATCGCTTAAGATTTCTTTAGTTTGCTCTGAATTATGGTGTTCATTTTCCAGTACAGTTTCCTTGGTATCTTTATTAGCACCACATGACGAGTGTTCCACATATTTAGTCTCATTTTTATCATCATCTATTACTGATGATGTAGTTAAATTTGTTTCAGTAGTTTCGCGCTCGAATGTCACAATCGCTTGAAAATTTGGCGACTCATCCAATTTGTCTTCCAGCTTTCCATTTTCTTCACACGTTTCAATCTCTGTATCGATCTTAGACGCGGGTAAATCTAAATTCTGCAAAACAAGCTGCTCACCTTCTGCATGTACCTCGCTCTTTTCATTTATATGTGAATTCAAGTTGTCATTCTGATTATCCTTATTTTCTATTTCTACATTATTCACATCAGATTCTCCAGAAGAAATTATATTGCTTTCTTTCTCGTTCGCAGTCGTCACAATCTTATCATCTTCCAGTGACTCCGTAGTGGTCTCCTCAGGTTTTTCAAGTTCAGACTGATAAGACGTTTGCGACTCCTCATGTTCTTTTCGCGGTGATTCCGTTTCCTGATACTTCTGCAGGCTTTCGTCTTCCTTTCTAATCTCTTTCTTACGAAAGTAAGGAGACTTATTGCTGAAGTCCTTTTTTTTCGGTGGAAGCTGCGACTTTCGCGAATTAGGGGACTTGTGTAGATTTTCATGATAGACACCTTTAGTTCTGTCCTCAAACGACTTTGGACGTGAAAAGGACTCAGTATCGGGGGAAGTTACTTCAACGTCTGAATGACTGCTGTACGTTATGCGACTCCTTTGTCGCGGCCCGACTCGTCCTGTTCCAGCGATACTTGGCGAATTTACTGCAACGATAACATTAAAAAATTATTTCAAATACCTTTTACATTCGGGAACATATTATATTGTCACTTTTAAAATGTACCTTTGACACTCATGACTGGGCCTTTTGTCATATTTCCTTGATTCAGCGTAACTTTTATACTTTTGTCGGTAGCGACGACAGTTCTCTTTTCGGGACCGGAAGGATTTTTAACATGCCCATCTTGATGATACACGTTGGAAGAATTTTCATAATTATTATGAAAATGTCTCGAATTTCCCCGATAGGAACGATGACCGCCGCGATTATGGCTTGCATAATCATTTCCTGCAGAAAGCAATTGTATGCACATATGTATATCCAACAAACAAAAGCATAATCTAAAATCCCGCGATTTGTATTACTGCTTGTATAATAAGCGTCTATTGGTTCTCACCATTAACGTGGTATCTTCTATCAAAGTCTTTATAGTCCTTTTTTACATAATCCCCTAATTTAGCCTCAGATCTCGCCACTTCGTCCACGACGTGTGCCTGCAATTATATCTATACGTAATCCATCGTATTTACACAGTCACGGTGGCGACGCACGGTTCCTTTTTACGCAGCGCTCTCACCTTGTCGTTGTCCCATTCTCTACGCCAATTACCCTCCGCAGTTCTCTGTCTGCTAATGCGATCCTCGTCAATACGATTTCTTTCAGCTCTCCAAGCTTCATAATCCGGCTGATGTTCATCCCTGTGTGACCCTCTATTCGTTCTATAATCCTTTTCAAGAAGTAGATCATATCAAAAAACGAAAATGCGTCTAGGTTTACTTAAGAACACTTTGTTTTAAGCTTTACGTACTCTTTGCATCCCATCCTTCCCACCAGGCCTCCTCCTGAACATGCCCCGTGAATATTTTTGCCCCCTATTTGAAATGTCCTTCGTGCTCTCTCCTCTTTCGCTTTCCTCTCTCTCGGCATCAGCAAGGAAGTTATACTTGGGATCAGGTGGAGGCCCCTGTCCCTAAGAAAAGAAAGCATCAATGAGAATTTTCAGTTTATTGAAAATCAAAGTTTAAACAGGCCTGAGCTTCCAAACGGGAAGGATTTTATTAAAAGATTGCCAAATCAAAATCCTTTTAATATAATTTCTTTGCGCACCTGAGCAAACATATGACCTTTCCGTCCTTCGCCACTCGCGGGCTGATATTGCTGAGAATGCTCGTGGTGTTCCTTGGCAGGTTTTGCCTTGTTACTCGTTCTAGGTGAATTAGAAAATTCTGGCGGCTCCTTCCTCTCCGGCCAATCTGTAGACGGCACCATTTGCACCAGCGCATTCAGTTTGGCTGCATTTTTCTTATCCTCCTCCACTTCCTGGACAATAAAGCTCGGATATTTTCTCACGTATAGGACAATTATCCGTCTAATCACGGAGACTCTTACCTCGTGCCTCCTTCTGATTTCCTCATTCTGTTGCCTTATCTTGTTAATTTTCTCCTCGAGCGCGTTCGCTGCCATCTGCAATTTGGAGAAAGCCCAGGTCACTAATAATCCATTTCTACCAATGCAGATTAACATCTTGGCTTAACTTACCTTTTATCTTTATCTAATTCTAAGAACTAGAAAAAGATGAAAAGTAAGTCAATGTGATTAAAGTTAAATCTACATTGGTAGAAATGGACACAAGGAAAAAGATGAAAAGTAAGTTAAACCGTAATTAAAGTTAAATCTACATTGGTAGAAATGGACACAAGGCGGCGAATTGAATTAAAAATACATAAACGTCGGACACCTATCCCTCTCCTGAGAGATATCGCGAGAAGGACATTTAAACGCGCGGTATAGATCAAATGCTCCAACGGGATGATCGAATCCGAAACGATGCGACGCGGCATTCGTGTCACGTCGCTCTGCGTGCCGCGAAAGGAATGTCACTTCCGAATTCCCCGTCCTCTAAATAACCCACCCACACCGATCGCGCAGACCCGTTTCGTTGATCTCGTTAAAGGGCCAACCGTGCGAGTTTGTCGCCCAAAAGAGGCGCGATATTCCACGCTAATCCAATCGACGCAAAACGCAGAGTCCGAAACGCAAAAACCCAGGCGGTCTATTGTTTTTTCTTCTCCCCGTCCCCGTCGCGAACGAATCGGCGGCGGTGCGCAGAGATTCGCGGCACGTCAAACGACGAGAATCGCCGGAAATCTTGTCGCGAACTCCATTGATCTTAAATAAAACGCTTGTCGTTCGCGGTAAGTACGACAACGTTTCGCTACACCGTCGGGATACCGTTGAGACGAATTTTCGCTGCTCCGAATTCTAACCGCGGAACGGCCGATCGGTGACACCGCACCGATTCCCGCGGTTGATTGATAATTGACGCAAAGGGAAACCCGCAAGGGGCAGATGAGCCTCGTCCAGGAGATGCGTCGCAACTTGCCGCAATTGCGATAATTAACGTACGGCGATTGGATGTGTCGTGAGAATGTCGCTGGACCGAACGGTGAGACTGGAGCAGCGCTCAAAACTCAGAACACTTCGGAGTAAAGTTCGGAGAGAAGTCAGACCATCACACCGCCACACTTCACGTCAGACGCAAGACGGACAGTCTCCGACGTTATTTAATACAATTTCGAGCGCGCCCTGGTAGAATTGAAGCGATACCGGCAGCTTACCCGGTAGATTTAAATGGATTTAAATGATTCTCTTATGCCCCAAAATAAAATAAGAAAATATCTGATTGGCTGGTCCAGTGGAAAAACTCCAGGCACGAGGGGGCTGAGGGCTGAGTCAGCTGAGTGACTGGCGTCAATCGCAACGTGGTCCGAACGAAACGCTCCCTCCTAACCTCTAACCTAACCTAACCTCTCTTTTCGCACGTCTTGACTCTTCTCGTTCATTTCTTATTTTACTATACGCACCGTCGTTAATTTTCCGACTGTAAATCTCCTTTTTCACATATGTACTCTATATTCAATTCGATTCGACGTGATTCACTCGGTTTTATCGCCATGAGTGTTGCGACACCGATGTACGGTAATCGCGAAACTTGACACTTGCACTGCTCCGATCGCGTGGATTGACAAACGCCGTCGTTGGTTACAGGAGATTGTTGAATAATCTTGATTTTTCATGAATCGCTTTTGTCATGACGAGCGAGGATAACGTGTGGAGAGAACTAGCAAGAATCCCTGCCGATCCCCCCGACACGAGAGACAAGTGTCAACAATGCAGGCAAGTGTCAAGAGATTCTGAACGACCTATTCTTCTTATCTGAATTCCTCGCACCGTTCATCTTTCCTCTTTTTCTTTCCACTTTGGAGAGAAGAAAGGTGAACGGTGCGAGAAGTTCAGCTGAAAACAACAGACCTATAAGATCTGTACGAGAATTTGTCAAATCTAATCACACGTATGCTTTTGTAGGAGACCTGTACAAGTATGCTGGTGTCCGGGTTTGCCGAAGCAGCGTCTCAATCCAGCGTCGAGGATAATAATTTTGCAGCATCCGGCAGAGGCAAAGCGCTGTCTGCGCACCGTGCCGATGCTCGCATTGGCATTAGAATCGGGAAAGTGCCTAATTTTCAGGTGAACGAGGCGCAATTATTTCAGCTTGATCACCGTCCGTGGTCTAAATTGAATAAGATATTAACGAAGTCAATCCTGTTTCCCATTTCTTTAAAGGGGAAAAAAGTTTCCGTTGCCTAAGCACGAAGGCCTGGCGGAGATATTAAATGACAAGAATACTATTTTGCTATATCCATCACCTGGCGCTGTTGCGTTGGATACGCTGGATCCAGTTGGGATCAATGAGCAAAAGGCATACAACTTGGTTCTGCTGGATGGAACGTGGCCGCAAGCGAAAGTAAATTGTTATTATACGGTGACATCCATAAAATTCTCGCGTTAATAGTATATATAATTACTAATTTAGACTTTTAGAAGTGATACAATGTGCCAAAAGATAATTATCTTTGTGCCGAAAGATAATATTATATTGTAATAAGACAATACGATAGATTACCAGATTTTTCAATGTTTATTGTTATCATGTGCAGGCGATATATCACTCGAGCCCAGCTCTGTATTTTCTACGAGCTTGCAAGCTGATCGGTGTACCCACTAGTGAATACGTGATCAGGACACAGCCGACGGAGGGTTGTCTCTCGACGCTGGAGACAGGCGCGAGTGCGCTCTCGATTCTAGAAGGGGATCCCGAACTGAGAGAGAAGATGCTGGGTCCACTACATTATTTATGTAGGCAAGTACATAAGTTCCCCCCTTCCCCCCCAAGTTATTAAAGCCATTATTTAGATAAAGTTCTTCGAATAAACTATAATTTTGTGTAATTGAAGAAGAAACGAAAAAAATATAGTAGTCAATTAAAATCAATACATCTAAAAATTACATCATATATGCAAGAAGTGTGAAACTCTTCCTTCTTTTAGGTTTCAATTAGAAAATGGTGCGGTAACACACCAGAGCAAGGAGTTTCTTATCAAACAGAAAGCTTATCCAAAGTTAATTGGCAAAAGACTCGCTAAACAATTACGTATATTACCGGATAGTACCTCATAATATTAAGACGTACTGAAAGTTCATCGAGATATATATTTGAAAATTAGATAAATATATAAAATAAATATCTTTCATGAACTTCATATAAAGAGCGTTGATATGGAAAAGAAATACTGCGTAAAGTTAGCACATGAAAGTTTCAATAAATTTCTATTTACAATTTATAAAATAAGCCTAAGATACTCTATTCTAGCGGCTCGAAAAAATTATTTTAGGATTTTTAAAAATAACAGCGGATCTTTGTGAAGATTTATAATATATCTTGTAAATATTAATTTCCATGTTTGGAAGAAAACGGTTTGATAATATGACGTGTCATTTCTCATAAAATTGTAAAAAATGTAAGAAAAATACTATTTATCCAATGAAATATATTTGGAATATTAAACTTAATTTTATTAAAAAAATAAAGTAAAATGTTATAAACAACTTATCCTTCTCGATACCCGGGCTAGCTAGGAATTACTATTTTCTTTCAATAAGTAGATCATTTGACTAATTTTCAAAATATCCAACATATTAACTTTGAAAATGTTTTGAGAAAAACGTGATCAAGTTTTATAAGTTTTTTTATTTTTAAGTAAAATTTGTGCACTACCAGATACTTACAGCTAATCTACTATTTCAAAATCGTTCACCCGGCAAAAATATTGGCAATTTAAAATGGATAAGATTCAAACAGAAAAGAACATCTTTTGTCCTATTACTCGTGTCCGGAGCGTGGTGACTTCTCTTCATATACATGTGTTGCGCACGTGGATTATACACATTGTATATGGAACCTACAGTTTAACGCCGATTTCGAACGGCAATTTTTTGGAGAAGTTTTCGTGGCAAGACATACTCTCGGTGGTTTGCCATTGCCTTCCGAGAGGAGAACGAGCGAATAAAATTTTCTAGCTCTACCGGGAATCGAACCCGGGATCTTTGGCTTAATAGACCAGTGCGCTGTCTACTAGGCCACGCTCGTCTCTTGGGGTGCTTTCGGTTTCTTCAAATAATTCCAGTTTACTTGATCCCTTTTTGCTATTTGAATCTCTGGAGTAAAAAGAACCCTTAAAACCTGTATTTCTATTATCTTGATATCATTCTTTGTATCGTAAAATTTTATTTTCATAATTTTGTTTCATGTTTGAGATACTCTTTAATATAATAAGAAATCAACATTAAAACATTTTAATATTTTACAAATATTGAACAAACACAAACATTTATTAATACAATTAATCATTCGTCAATACATCAAATTCAAATTCTACTTCGCCACTTTGTGGCACAAAGGTGAACGACCACGAAAGTGTGCTTCCTTTCGTAACATTGAATACTTTACGAAATAGATGTACGCCTTGTCTCGTGTATGGATCCCAAGATATACGCTCGCCAGGTACTATCTCCTCAATTGGGCCACAAGATATTGACAGATCCGAGTCCAATTGCCAGTCCACCCATATAGTGACGCCATTGCAGCAGCCACTGCTATAAAATGAAAAACATGGATATTGTTATTATAATATTAAAAAAATTAAAATCTATTTTCTCTGACGCTTAAACATCATTTCCCTCTGTAAACTTAGTATTTACTTAGCGCTCAATAACAGACACTTACTCTAAAATCGGAATCTCTCCCGTTATCCTCTTGCGTTCGTCAAAATTTACGTTCCGTGTTAAATCAAGCTTTATGATATCAAAGGACGAAGATAACGCCTTGCAAGGATACTCCCAAAGTGGTTGCGCTTCTACGGGGTTGTCACTTTTCTCGCTAGACGCCTGAAAATAGAATACAATTTCCCTTTAGTATTTCAAATGATATAAAAGAAGAATAAAGCTACTAAAACAGAACCAACTTGAATAAGTCTGTCGAAAGAGGAGAGATCAAAACCCTCGCAAGCGCCAAGAGGAGCACGTATTTTCTGCAGATCCTTGAACTCGACAGCAGCGGCCTTGATCGTCGCCGCGACCGGCAGTCTCGCAATACTCGACGGATATCTGGAGGCGAGATACCAGAATCGTAGATTCTCCCAAGGTACAATGGAGCTCAGGAAATATGGCTCGCCAAAAATGAAATCAATTTCGCTTGCCTCCGGCAGACCATCGACCGACTCGACGATCTTTACTCGATCGGAGAGCCCGTTTGTCTGCACAAACATCTCCATGGTTCTACGCGATAGGAAATTCTGCTCCAATAGGAACACCTTTGCGCCCAACCTTGCAATCGCGAGAGCCAACAGACAACCATCCGAGACGCATAGACAAACGCTGTTCGGAGTGATCTTCCTCCGCAAAGCCTGTAGGTATCTCTGATTACGAACTGTGTCGTTTAATTGACCAATACGCGTCCGTGAGTATGCAATATGCGCCCAGCAATTGCACTCAGGTCTCTGACAATCTGGAATCTCATTTCTGTGAAAGAGATTTTCCTTTTTACTTAATTTACATTAAACAAAAGGAACAATTTTAATTATACTTTAGCAAGCATTAAAAATGGCTTGTTAAAGCATAATTAAAATTGTTATTTTTAAAAAAATTAATTAATAATAATTCAGGATTTTTTTATAATTATAAAAAAATAATAAAACTGTATAAATTATATAAAATGTGCAGGGTGATTAAGTAAAATATTACAAAAAGAGACTTACAGAGGTCCATTCAGTAATTTAAACCAGAAAGAATATTCATCGTGATAACCGATAACATTGACCTCAACGCCATATGTGATAGGTACTTCTTCTGGAAGGTAATAGACAGCTTGCATCCAGTGATCCCGCCAAGGTATTGTATCCGTCATCTTTTTCAAAGACGTGGCATCTTTCTTCATGTCATCAGGTACGTCTGGATGTTCCCATACAGGTGCACAACTCAGTAATACCTGAAAATGATACGTGGTATGAAAATTCATAAAGATGATTAGAAAAATAATATAGACGTTTACCTGATTATCTGTATCCATGTTCAAGTCCCACCACATAAAAATTGCATGTGCGGTCCCGCTTGCTATCGGTTGTGTTAATAATGATACTTTTTCGTTGTTCAATAAAGGCTTCTTGCCGGACCAGTCAAACCTAAAGTGCATTTTCAAATATCAATTTATTTAAAAATTATTATTAATAATTATCATTATTAATTATACAGATTTTCAAATTAGCAATTTGAATAAGCTAAAGATTAGAAGGCTCTGAAAGGCTGCGGTCCGATTCAAGCTCACAGCACTGTAAGCATCATACTGTCTTCGTTGCACATCGAATATGAAACGAAGATACAGCAATGCTTTCAGCATTATGAGCGTGAATCGGACCGCAGCCACAGAAATCTCTCTGGCTTTCCTAGTTAGGATGTACGTGCGGCTGATAATCATTGTGAAACATTATTGTTGCGAATGTTCAAAGAGAAAGACCAAAAGAAATCTTCAGATTGGACCAAGATTTACCTAGAGTTATGAAGCTGTGGTGGCCGCGCGTATATCTACCAAAGATAGGTGGGCATATACATGCATACCCCCAAAAAGCCAATATTGACTAATTGATTGATTGTTAAAAATGAATAAAAGAAAAATAGCTTTAAAAATAGAAATAATAAATCCATTCTTGGATTTTTATTTCTATAAATACGTTTATTATTTAATATTCTCTGCGTCACTGTTACTCGCCATTTGCGTCGATTCAATAAAGATTCCTGTTTTAAATATTCTCTCTTTAGAGAAATGAAAGATCATTACCTGAAAATAGGCTGTGCTGGCAGCAAAGGTACAAAAGCATCGCGAGGAAGACGTGACAGTTGCATGTCGTGCACAGCTGCAGCACCAGAGCACGCTTGGATGGTCGGTGGAGCGTCAACCAACATTTCTCCGTTCTTAATAGGCTTTACTCGATTCCAAGCACAGACTTTGGTGCTCTCAACTACTTGCGCCCATACTGTTCCTCTGTGCGGCACGACTATGCTGTCTTCCTAATGTAAAAAAGCAAAGCGTAAGCATATCTTTGAACGAGCAGGATCACATGTGTAAGTTTGGCGTTACCTCGAGAAGAACTTCGTGTGCGTGGCGAAACGTTGATAGTGCTCCTTCACCAATCAACTCGGTGTCGAATACTTCAGTGACTAGAATATTCGCGCGTTTTGGCATGTCACCACCTTCGCCCACTATCATCTTCGTAGAACGCTTACGGATCAACTTAATTCTATCCTCGAAGCCGTTCTCCTTTATTATTTGTGCGGCGCAATTCGCCATTGGTTTGAATGCCTAAAAACAAGATCTCCCTGCGTAAGCAGAACTTTGAAAAAAGGTTTCGAGATTCTCTTCCCTTACCTCGCATGCCGTTATAGTGTCTGCTCCGCATTTGGCAGCCATCATCGACAGCAAGCCTGTCCCAGTGCCTATGTCAAGAACGTTAGCCTCTTCACCAGCCTGGTGCTTTTTCTCAATAGCAGCTTTGAGGGCAATGTAATACTTCTCATTCTAGTGAACAAAATGTGAATAATTTTTATTCCGTTGGTTAAAAAATTATTATTAAATAAAAAATATGCCGATAATATAAGATACTGACTCGTTCATGGTCATGCAGCATGTCTGCAAAAGCGGATCTAGCTACTTCTTGATGATAATCGTAATATTGATCTTTTTCCTCCCACGAGGCAACGCCAGTGAGAGGATTCAAACATTGCGTAAAAATACTCATGTTTCGATTAGAAAATGCTCTTATTGCAGTGACGAAACTGGCTCTCAACATCCAATATCGAAATATATGCGCGGGGAGATGAAAGATTCATCCAAACGCTTCGCTCTCGCTTTATTTCAACTCTTTATACCTGCAAAAAGTCACAGTTTATTAACACTGCGTATCCCAAAGTGCTTTATACGTCGAATACTGAATCTCAATCATTACTCTGCTCTCTACTCTAACGGACTTATACTTGGATAAATTTCTGTATAAACATCTTTATAAGAAGTATAACTTTCTTCGCTGAAATTGTAGCTTTTATGAAATCTTACTGGTAATACATAGGACGAGCTGCTGTAGATAACAATGATAATGTATTTAAACTGCCGCGTACGTCTTCGACTTTCAGCAATTTATGAGCTATCAGTACGATGTCATTTTCCCTCTGTTCCAGCATTCCAAAAACTTTAAAAATACGAGATCTTTCCTGCAAAAGTATAAGATCATGAGACAACTAAATCAGGCAGAATACCAAGCCATTTTATTGCTACAGGCATAAACTTATATTATTTAAAAAAAAACGGTCACTTTTAACATTTTTAAATATTAACGTTTGTAAATAATAACATAAACAAAAATATAACAGTTAAGTTATTCATCAATAAGGTGAAAAATCACTTCTTTTTCGATTGCAAGCTATATCCTGTACATGTACAGTGTATTTTATACTAGAGGTCTATTTGTTTATAACTAAATTAACACAAACTTTCCGTATTTAAAGTGAAAATAGGTATATATTTGAAATTTGATGAGGAAGAAGGCAAGTTCTACAGTGCAATGCAGCAATAAAAAAACAAACCTAAAGCCCATACCAGACTACACATTAGAGATTAAAGATTGCAAATTTTAATTCAATCCCTGGTGGAAAAATATCTCAGAATTTTTCATATTATTATTTCTATAAAAATTTTAAGATTTTCTCAGATCTTTCATATGAATTGGGACATTTTTCAGATTTTCTTAATACATCTTTGTAGAAATTCCACGCAAATGCTGAAACATTCCCAAAATCCTTATCCAACTATTTCTGAAAGTATCTGAGAAATTTGACATGTTTTTTTCTCAGAATTTTTCATAAATCAAAAATATGAAAAATTCTCAGAAAATTTCTGAGAAAAAAATATAAAAAATTTGTTCACCAGGAATCCGTTTCGTTCCGACCGCTGGAATTCTAATCTCCGATTCGCAATCCTCCATCATCAATATGCAGTCTGATACGGGCTAAATTGTTATTATACATAGCCACGCTGTAACGTTAAGGAAAATTAACCCCCCAAGGGGGTTAGGAAACATCGGAGTATTTCGTTGACGAGACAGGCCTTCTAGAAGCGAATCGCTTTACCCATATAAACAGACACTTTCCCTTGCCGTCGTTGAGGTAGAGACCGTCCACGGGAAGTCCCTCCAGGTTGAGGGTGACACTCGCCTCGCGGTCCGACGAGATGCTCCGTAAACGCGCGATTCGCCCGGTGCCGGGCACGATCTCGCCGATCGTTTGCACGCTCTTCACGCAATTCTCCCTGTAATCGGGCGAGGACGCGTATCGAGGAATGTCCTCGATCAAGAGCGGGACATGAGGGACACCGCACGGTAAACGGTTCTCACGAGCGGCCAAGCACGCCGGCCAGGGGGACGATTCCAGACGCGCCTGTTCCATGCCCCACTTGCCCCCCAGCACCGCAATCAGCCCGCCATACCACTGACGAAATATTATTAAAGACCGGCGCGCGGTCAGCTGGTCTGTGCGAAGCGACGAAGCGAGCTGTGCGATCCGCGCGTACCAAACGGTCAACAAAATCACGTGTTTGAAAGCGCGGCAATCCTTTTACATTTCAATTTCTCGGCGCGCTAATGTCCACTTCTATCTAATGTAGATTCCATTATAATTAATGGAGGTTCGCGTGATTGCTAAAATTTAGATTAGCTCATAATATAATACTTAATCTTATAATTTATTATTATATTGTTATTATTATTATATTGTTATTTCTCTCATGATATTTTGTAAACATATATGTAGATATAGAGAGCCCAATAATATTCAATTTTAATTTGAAACTGCCGTTTTATTATTGCCATCCTAATTATGCAACAAGAAGTCATGAATTATTGCACGAATTTAAAAGTTAATTATTTATAGACATTTATAGTTGATGATATCATTATTCTTCAATTATTCCTGGGCCTCTCTAATTAATGATAACTACGATAATTTGCTCGGGAGATGATTTTTAATAGTATCTCGTCGATGATATCACGTAATTAAACGGGTTATAATAATATTGGGATTTTTATTTCATAATAAGAACGCTATAATGAAATAATATTCTATTCTATTATATAAACTGTCGAAAACGGCTAATTGTGAGATTTATTACGAGGCTTAATTATTAAACGAAGAAGGAGCATCCTTTTCATACAAATTCAAATGCTCTTCCTCTTTTTTATTACGTCTAATGTGTATAATAATGTTATATATACAACGTTGCTCGTTATATAATAAACTGTCATTGTTTATATTGACCGAGTACACATTATCTATTTGAGATGTATCAAACTATATATGTACACACAAGGTAAATTAATTTACCCACAAATTTATAAACATATCAATGGCATTCACGGGAAATATGTATCGCTCATTTACTACAACGACGGAGCTAAAAAATGGTCAGTTTTGTGTTGTTTGCAAAAGAATGATAAGAATCAACTGAATGAAAAGAGCTATACATATTTCCCATGCACGCGCCGATGAACATTAAGTATACATGGGGCCATAAATGCTCTAACACATGAATTTATACACATGTAAGGATATTAATTTCTTATAACAATAGCTCTTGTATTATTATATACTATATATTATTACTATAAGAAATCAATTATTAGATTATTACTGAATAATTAACAGTTATGATAACGATCAATTATGATCCCACGTACATCGTTTTTGATCTGTAACCCTTAATCCGGATTTACAGTAGATGTAGAAAACTTGTGACCTTTTGTTCTAACAATAAGTTCTAAGCTATGACGTTAATTTGCTTTAAGCTCTAAACTTTATAACATTGATCTGGCCCAGAAGAACAAATCACGGTTTAAAGTAACGCTAAAGACGCTTTTTGCTAAAAAAGTCATAGCTTAGAACAAAAGGCTAAAGACTTACTACACTCTGAAGACCAGGTCTTAATCTCATTTATAATTAGAGTGGTAAGGATTCTTCAAGCAACCTTCGATCTTGTAACAATTTTAAAAAATGTGCTAGTTGCGGTAACTCCGTCAAAATTTCAACCAAACTATATCGCAATATTTTAGAAACATTATGAGTAGCAAGATATATTTAAATGCGTCACAATCTTTGAAATTTAACGAAGATGTCAAACAATCTTTTGAAGTTTTTTGCATAATCTTTAATTTTTCTTTTATTATGCAATAGTCACGTACTCTGAAGCGAGCTGCGATGTTAGGACACGAAGTTTCTGTCCATCCTGAGTCACGAATTCAATTGTTTGTTCACCATTCACGAATTCAGTCTGCTCGATATTTCCTAGCTGATTGATGGTCGCGACTGTCGTGGCGTCGGTATCCTCGTCCTATAAAAAGTAGTGTTAAAGTATTTTATTAACATCATCAAATATAGCTATATAATATAATTTTAATTATCAATGTACACATATGTATAAGAAAAAAATATACAAAAATATACAAACATATGATACTAAAAATAAAGAGGTAAAGAATCTGCAATTTGGGGAATTTGTGAAGATAAAACAAAGAATTGATAAAATTTATAGAAAGCTTATTGTATATTTAAAAAATAAAAGATACGCAAAAAAAAGATTCTATTGAAATTCTGTTATTATTGGCATTAAACTGGAAATTACCTCAAGCGCTTGAACAATTGCGTCTGCGTCAGCTTGAATTGCCGACAATGCTTCGATATTCTTGTGTGTATTCGGACGCACTATGATTCCAGTTTCCTCCATAGTGTCTTCGTCGACGTGAATATTCAAGGCTTGGAGTTGTTGTGTCGCGAACATTCCAGGATGAAGTCTCATAATTTGGTTGTCGTTAAACTGGCTGACAAAATGACCCTGCGACAAAAGCTGTCGAGCCTCTTGAATGGTTAACGGAATCGGATTTCCGTGTTCATCTGTGATCTAAAACAGATATCATGGAAGAAAAATTTTAATTATAAAGAACAGTTATGTCATTTAAGAAGATTCTAATCATAGCTATTCAATCTTCGAAGTTGATAACAAGATATATAGGTATTCGATTAGAACTTGGCTGAATAGAAGAAAATTGTTAAATTAGGCCAAGGTGCGACTTGGGCTGTAGCACCATTGCAGACGAAGAAGTAATAAAAATAATAGGGTCCATCTTTCTTACCTGCAACTGCAAATCTGGTTCCGTCAATTCGATCTCTGACTGGTCGTCATTGCTGCTGGCTGCATTACTCATAATTCTATCGCCAATGACTTCATTGTTCTCCATATCCAAACGCGACAAGGAATTCACACTCGCCACTATTTCGTCTTTGTTCTTGTTGGCGTCGACTAAATTTCCATAATCAAAATAATAATTCATCAATTAATCCAATAATAAGTTGACAATTAATTATATATGATTAGCAAGTTTATTAATAATTGCTCGCATACTCATATGGAATGTTCGCTCATTAGAATCGCTAGGGTCCTGATAAGATACATAAATAATCTGTTGAATCCCATCATTAGATGTCTCGTCAGTGGCTATTATTTGATTACTGAACGTCCGTTCGTCAACCTGCCGAACTGAATTCGGCAGAATCTGCCACACTTGTCCGATCGGAGATCCTTCCGACTTGTTTGTAGGTGGCACCTTATCCTCCCTGTGCACCTGCAGAAATTAAAATTGATAGTTATTACTGATTAGTAACGAAAAATTTAAAGAGTGAATTTGAATCACTGAAGTACCTTTTTGTGCTTTGTCAAATTTGAACAATCGGCGAAAGCTTTGTTACACACATCGCAGGAATAAGGCTTCTCACCTACAAAATGTGAAATCATTAATACTTTATTACACGGAAATTAAAATAATACAAAAAACGAAAGCACCCGTCCACATTTTTATGTTTATTACATTCTTTCATTTTTAAATCTGGGACACAATTCATCATTTTAGTTACCAGTGTGCAAACGAATATGTTTCTTCAGCGCCCACTGTTCCGTAAAGCTACGTTTGCATGTACTGCATTGAAACGGACGTTCCCCCTTATGCCGGCGCACGTGACATTTCCATGTATCTTTGTGCAAGAAGGTCTTCGCGCAAAACTCGCATTTCCACGGCCGCTCGCCGGTATGCCGTTTTACATGTAGCTTGAACTGTGACGACGTGGTGAACTTCCGGCCGCAGAAATCGCAACTGTATGGCTTTTCACCAGTGTGAATGCGTATATGCTCTTGCAAATTGCCATTCTGCGAGAAGCTCTTGCCGCACTCCTTGCATTTGAATGGCTTTTGACCACTGTGCCATCTGAAACAGAGCCATACAATTTTCAAGATATTATATTCATCTTACGCCAATAGCTAATTAAATCTTAATTCAGAAATTCAAATTAAAAAAGTTAAACACACACTTTTATTTATAAGTTCCGGAAAACTTAAGAATGCATTATCTATATTTCCTTTCTCAATACCTTAGAATGTCTGTACATTAAAAATAAGTGATGTGTTCCTGTTAATGTGATGATGCGTTACCTGTAATGCAAAGTGAGACTAGTCTTGTGCGCAAATTGTTGCTTGCAAAGTTCACAGTTATATTTTTTCTGACCAGTGTGGGTGGACTGATGATTAATCAGATTTGCTTTCGTCTTGAAACTGGCGTTACAGGATTTACAAACGTGCGGCCGATTATCCGAGTGCACCAGCTGATGTCGCTGGAGCAACTGTTTATGCTTGAAGCTTTTGTTGCACTTGTTGCAGACGAAACGACGACCGTTGTTATGTTCGGCTTCCTTGTGATACAACACGGAACTCGGATGGTTTAGGACCTTACCGCAGATATCGCAAGGGTAGTTGTATTTAGTTTTCTGCAATATTACACAAACATTTAACAAGATCCAGAAATATTATGTGTAACTTTATCAAAAGGATCGTAAAAATTATCATATAAAAATATTTAAGATTTACAATATCCTTTCAGCAATTTTTTTAAATTAATATTATTGTCATTTCGTTATAACTTATGATGAAACACGAACCCCGTGCGTTGTCATGTGCGTCTTCAAATCCGATTCATTTGTGAAACTCTTTTTACAAGTGTTACAAGTGAATTTCTGCTGCTCATGCACCACTCTCATATGCAATTCGTATTCTTGTTTTAATCCAAATTGCTTGTTGCATTTTTCGCACGTATAAATCGCTTTTCTGGAATCTTTCGCTATCTCGGGTGTCACTGTGGAGGTAGTCTGCTCTACGTTGTGCGTCTCATGTGACTTCTGTGACTTCTGTACCTCGACATTTTCTTCGGTGGGATTTGAATTGTGTTTAGTCGTTTCTTGATGCAATGTCAGACTCTCTTTACTTTCAAACAGCTTCTTGCATTGTGTGCATTCATGCTTGATACCCATATGGAAACTCCTAAGCAGTATTGTATTAAAATATAAAAATTGTTTAAAAACTGAATCCTTTTCTAAAAAGGAGATGTGAAGTTTATTGTTGCCGCTTTTCCGCGATGCCGATTGGTTTTCTTGCTGCGCTTACTTCATTTGCAGCTGTCATTGTATATTTTGACAGTTGTGTATAATAGGGTTAATAGTGAAATGTTAAAGATAAATAGCGCGCGCGTAGCGCGCGTCTGTAGTGTCTAGTATATATCTAAAAAAATCTTGATTTTTAACAAAAAATTTTGAGAATTTAGAAATATAAGCACAATTCACATATATAAAATAAAAAATGACAAACTAAAATACGAGAGACATCTAATTTGCAGGAAAAAGAATTTTCTCACATCCAAGATCTTTGTACAGGAAACGTACAATCATCTATAGAAAATTATATTACTTGTGTACTATATATTTGCTACGTTGTAGGAAACCCCTGCCGCAGAGTTGGCACGTGAACTTATTTTTTCGACGGCGCAATTTTGATTTCGATCGTCCACGGTTTACAGTCACCACCTCACCCAAGTCTGTACCCTCTTCCGTTTCGAGATGTCCTATCACTTCTGCAAAATATGCATGACACGCACGTGTTTTTTTTTTAATTTCTTATTTGATATCTTGATCGTTATGTATACCTTCTTGACCATCCTCCTGATTAGAAGATTTTAACAGATCTGCTGGACCGTCAAATATTTGAGAATTATTGTCTTCCTCATCGATCACACCTTCCTCCTTGAATATCCTTTCCAATTCTTTTCCCTGCACTGCTTCTAGGTACCTGTGCAAATTTACTAACAATTATATAAGTTATTGTAGCATGGATTTTCTTTAAAGATATGCGCGAGGATGGGACGGAAAATGATTCGCGCGATTTAATAGAAATAGGATACTCTTTATTAATATCACTAATATCACTTCTTTCTTATCTCTACGACGACCGGCAATCAACTGCGCCGGTATCGCGAAACCGCGACGATTGCCCGACGCGTACATGCTGTCGAGGCATGACTATTTGTATACAGCAGTGATTGACCCCCGATATTCTGGATCCCACATTAAGCTACAAGTTTTCACGTTAACGTACCTTTTGGGAACTTTGCGCTTCCTCCTGCGTCTACCATCGCCATCCACTTCTTCTTCCTCTTCCTGCTTATCCTCTTCACCTTGACTCCCAGCTTCTGCAGGATTCTCTTTTGACGCCTTATAAAAAATATATACAAACATGTACATATATTAAGAGTTATAAAATAATAAATGTTGCAAAATAATTTATTATTATACAAACCACAGAATCGTCCTCCGCATTTACTTTAGGAGGACGTCCACGCTTCCTTTTCGGCTTAGTCAAGCCTTCCATCTGCAAACTCATTTCATGCTCCACCGCATACATGGATCCATCTGGCATAACTGTATCATAAGTAGCATTAAAAGTTACATGAAATATAACAGTTTCACAAGGTGACGAATATGCAAAGGAAGAATGGCATTACTCTTAATAATTATTTGCTGTTCGTACTGCTCATCTTCATTATACTGAGCCGTGCTATCCATTTCTGTTCCTTCCACTTCGAACTCCGCATTTTCCTTTTTGCCGCGTTCGGCCTTGCGCTGCTTCTCCACTTGATGTTTCCAGAGTTCGCGTATCTTGCGCTGGCCAGCCACCAACAGCTCGAAGAATTGCGCCGTCGCCTCCAGCTGGATGTTGCAACCCGGGCAAATTGTCCGTGGTAGTTTTCCATCGTCGTGAATCTTGAATTTGATTTACAGTTTATATAAACGTATCATTACATCAAATATAATTTGTACAATATAGTTCATATCCTGTACTGTAAATCTCTCAATGTTCAGATGCAAAATTGTGAGATGATGTGTATCAATAAAGAAACTGTTCATCTCTGAATGTATTCAAGTAGCAATCTGGAGAGAAGCAATACATAATATTCGGAGTACAAACAGCTATCATAAAAAATAATCATATGCTTTGTCTGGTAAAAGGAATAAAAGAAAGAAAGAGAGTGACAGAGAGATAGGGAAAGGGAATGGGGGGCGAAAGTTCAGATGAAAAAGCTAACAAATAATCAAAGCGACGCATTAAAATGATGGAACATTTGATCAGTGCAGTAGCCGCACGGGATGGGAGAGCCGCACGAAAAATCGTAGTAGGAAATCAAGTTGCAGTCCGTTTGACCGGCGTTTTGAAAGCGCCAGCGCCTCACCTTGAGCGGCAGGTAACGATTCACGAGCGTGGATAGATCCGGCTCGCCCGTCTCGCTGACGAACAGATGCTCGTTGCCGTTGCTCGCCGCGCACAGTCGACAAATTGTCGAGTCGTACAGATGCACGTCTGCCATAGTCCTGACGATACGCGCGAGACGATGCTGACCGCGAATGAAATTGTCCCCCCCGAGGAAAAAAAATCGATGTGTATCAAGAACGAACGGAGTATCGCGAATTTATGTGAGGTCGACGCGGCGTCAAAATACGTTGTGCGTTACCATGATTTTGCATACGAAACGTCGCATAAACGCGCGCGCAATTCGTCCCAACGTTCGGGAAGAAGTCGGGGAGTGTCACGATGGAGGTTAGGTCGACCTCCTTCCCTTCTTCCTCCTTTGGTTCTCGTCGTCCTCGCCCAGTGCTGCCCAGTAACGTTTCCAGTGGCAGTCCCGGCGACAAATAAAATTCCCTAACGAGTTGCTGGTGATAACCGTTCGAGGTTACCTACCGCTTACGACATATAAGAAAAAAAAAAGTAAGGCGAAGAACCGTCAAAATTGGTCAAAATCTTCTGGTGCACGTTTTGAAACATTTTTAATAGGTTGTCCGTTATATAATTTTTCTTGTCATTGCGAGAGGGAATGTCCTGCAACACGTGCCAAGTGAAATTTTCGTTCTTCGTGAAAGACGTAAGTGTCCGATGCTTCGTTCAATTTCAAAAGGTTAATCCAGTCGTAGTGGAAAGCTGAAGAGGAATTTGTCTTGTTTATTTATTTTTATTTTTGCTACTCGCTCAGATCGGTTGCCCGGGCTGCGGCTATTCTTGCTGTAGAAAATGCCTCAAGTACAAATGCAATATTCCTGATGTAGGGAGAAGGAAAGTTTGCGGACGTTGTCACAACAAGCTAAGCAAAATGAAGAAATCGAGTCCCACGGATAATTCCGTGGACGGTGCTGTTACGCCTAACGTGAGCGATGAGCCACTCGCGCCAATTGACATCACTATGAAGTGAGACGAATTGATTTTCCGCCGGATACTCACCGAGCAGTTTGATCGTTACACTCGAGATACGTCTAAGAATATGATGTTTTTTTAACGTTGAATATTTTATTGCAGGCTGAATTTGCTGGAGAATCCGGTAAAGCCTCCAATAGTGATATACAAACATACGAATCGCTGGGACAAACTCAAGGTGGGATTAGAGCCGGCTGATCAACAGATTGTGGACAGGCTACGAAAGCTGAAAGACGAGGAACGGAACATTCCATTGCCTACTGTCGAGGAGATAAAGCAAAGACTGGCGTTGTTGAAGGATCAAAGTCCAGAGGCCGGTGGAAGTAATGTCATAGATGTATGTGAATGGAATGTATGAATGTAGTTGCGTTAGATGGATTTTTAAGGCCATTGCACGTAACAAAGTTTTAGTCTTGATCGTAAGGTTGTAAGAAAATAGACCACGCACAGTCGCTTATTCTTCTTGAGCTCGAAGAATAATCGATTGTGCGTGATCTATTTTCTTACGGCCTTACGATTATGACTAAAACTTTGTTACGTGCAATGGTTTTTATTAGTGCCCATCTATAATAGGTGTTTTAAGCCCTAAGCCCTAAGAAATTGACCAATCACAGTCAATTATTCTTCTCAAATTCAACTGTGATTGAACAATTTCTTAAGGCTTAGGGCTTAAAACACCTATTGTAGATGGGATACTTATGAACTGATTATTAATCTTAATTACAGATACATCGGGTGGATACTAGAACGGATCAGGAAAAGGCGGATGATTTGATACAGGAATACCTTGCGCAAATAGAACTACCTTCCACTAGCGATCTTTGTAAGGATTTTGAGAGACTCGACTTCTTACGGGATGACGGCGGTAAAACTGTAAGTGAATTAAAATTGTAAAACTCGAAATATAAAATCATAACCATCAATCTTGTTTCTTACAGCGTTTTGATCAAGGCTTGGAGGAAAAGATTAACACTTACAAGATCTTTGACAGAACAAACGATGATGTAGAGTTAATTAACAAAGTTTCAACTATGGCAGAAGCTTCGTCAATAGAGGTAGGTATTTGTAACTGATGAATGCATACTTTCAGCGCTTTTCGTTTCTATTTCATTTTACAGTTAATATGAATTTGTTTTCCCTGAAAATAGATTTTTATCCGTTCTGTGCAATAAATTATAATAATATATAATTATATATTGAATTTAATAAGTAATTGTATTCAGTTTCTATGTAAAATTTATGTTGAAAAAACTAGACTTCTCCAAACGTGAAAGACGAGGATGGAGACGAGGATGAAGATGAAGATGAGGAAGAAAATGAGTGCGTCATGTGTTTCCGGAATGCGAATAAATTGGATCTATATAGATGCACGGGTTGTACAGGCGATCTCTACTGTCCCGCATGTTTCGAGAGTTCCCACGATGAAAGTGAAATGATTGACGAGCATAAGGCAGTTCGCTTTATCAAGAAAAATAAGAGAGATAAATTGTCTTCTGCAAAGATGAGCCTTATAGAGAAACTATTGACGTCAGATAGTCAGAAGAACAATCACTGATAATTCATTACTGCGCATTATGCGAAAACATTCTTCAGAGACGACCTTATGATTTTACACTCATTTACAGCGTTAATTTAATCACACTTGGATGTTGTACGCACATGAGACTAAAATCGGAGAAACGCTCCTAACAAACATATAAAATAATTTAAAGATTTCTCTAATCGCTTAATGCAGGTGATTCTTTCAGTCTCTGGGAATTAAAATTACGCTTTACCGCTCGCTTTTGGCTGTGTCGTTTCGTAGTTGTGGTAATTCTTATTCATTTATTAGTTTCATCAACTTCTTGTTTTTAGTATTATACAACAGAGATATATATAATGCACGCTCGTGTACGAGTATAGTCAGGCGTAGATACCGCGTTTACGCTTATCATAAGAACGTTCTTTATAATTCTACAGAATAAAGTTATTTTGGCTAATTTGTAAGTTTTCAAGTCTCCCCAATTTCTACAAGTTTTGTCTCAAACTTTATTTTTTAATCCGTAATTCCAAGTGTTTTTTTTTTTTTTTAAAATCACATTTGGATACGTGATAAACTAACATTTTCGTTCGATCGTTTATAGTTTTATAGCAATGGTCAACCAGAGATTCCAGAGACTTGACACAATTATCGCGCATAATTCTTGCCAATGTTTGTAACAAATTTTATTATTACTTCATCAGTTTATATTATACATTTTTATTTTATTAACGTTTTATAGAATTAATTTCATGACATAAATATTATGGTAAATTCTACAAATACCAAAAAAGTATTATTAAAGACGATCGGTCTTACAGAATTTGACTGTTAAAATTTAAACAATCGTAAATACATGTTTTACGAAACTTCAGGATAATAATAAAATCATAAAATTAATATAAATATAATATTAAGATTTAATAAATTTCATAATATTTAATAAAATTATATTTAATTAAATATTATGTTACGAATTGTTTAAATTTTAATTAACAGCGCGACTTCCACAAAGATTGTCGGTTTTCAAATAGCGTCTCGTCGATTTTACTAGATACGCGCTCTTGCAGTAATGATCGAACGCTCGATATACCTAGGTAATCTTTTTCCCCAATCGAGAATCGAGATTCATCCATCGAAGATTGGCGACTACGTTCGTACGGTTCTGTACATCTGCGCCGTGAAACGTGAAACACGTATATGGCCGTTGTATCGCGCGCTACAGGGTGAGCCATAAGTCGAGCGATTGAGCGACTCACCACGTCCGTGGCTACGTCGACCGCCGACGCTCGCCTCCGACTCATGCACGATTGAAAAAAGGGGGACGATCGACCGCTCCGACAAGCCGCGGACACGAGGCTCGCGCGCGCTCCAAGTCCCTGGCGATCTCCGCGAGGCACCTTGTTGGCGGTCGCTCGGGTCGCTCCGCGATCTCGTGACTCACCCCGTATACATATGTACATACGTGCGTACGCGTGATACGTCGCGCCGCTGCATCAAAGGCATCGAAGCCGCGCACGTAACGAAAAATCGCGAATAAAGGGGGTCCGCCGTACGCCGCCGACGGGCAAGGGGCACCGTGTACAACCGTGTACGTACGTGCGCGCACGACGGAGATATCCGATCATCTGATGTGACACGCACATAGGCACGGATTTCACGGAATTAACCGTACGCAGCCGTCACCGCTCGTCACCGCCGCTGCCCGCGAGCCAGAGGGGCAGAGATCCTTTAAAACCCACGTTTGTATGCGCACGTCCGAGCCGCGAGCGAGACGCTGCGAACACCGCTCGGACCCCCGTTGCATGGTAAGCGGTCGGATTTTAGGTTAGAATCCGCAACCTCGTAACCTCCTCTCGTAACCTTGCCTTCGCGCGACGAGCGACCGAGTCTCTCGCGTCTCGACGGTCGTTTTCGTCGCCAATCGGCGCGATTCTCTCGCGAGCGACGCATCCTCGGTCGAGTTCCGGGGGCTCGACGCGCGGGCGACCTCCTTTCCGCCTCTCGGTTTCGCTCGGTCATTCCGGTCAGGTGACACTCGGACGTTTCCACGGACCGTTCGTTCGGTCGCCTTTCGAGGTTAGATCTCTAGGACGATCTTTCTTCGCCGACCCCGCGATCGGACACCGATGACGTTGAGGGTGCGCCCCGCGTCGTGGCTTCTGTGCTCGGCGAGTGATTCGGCAAGCCTGTGATTCGTAGAGATTTAAAAGGTAGACGACGTACGGAGGCTCCTTTCACGAGGAGTCACTCCTCTGCCCAAAACCGAGTCCTTCGCTACGTCGTGCAGAGCTCCGAGGACTCCAATACTCTCGTTTCGCGAAGCCTTCACGATGTCCTTGTTCGAGTCCTTCACAATGCAACCGATTCCGATGGACTTTCATAGTGTATACTGGTCGCAAGGATACGAATAACTCACATTCATGTATCTCCATCATCTCTGTATACGTATACGTATCTCTCGCTCTGTTCTATTTTGGCTGTGTAGGGACATACCGTTTCCAAGCTTATCAGAACACTCACTTTTTATCACATTTAACGCAAACAATGGTCATAATAGCATCTTTCAGATATAAACATACTTGAGGATATTCTCTATCAGCGTAATAACAAAGAACGTCTGTTTCTTTTTTTTTTTGGATATGTTCCACAAGGTGCATACATTCTAAGAAAACATGCCTCTGTTTGGAAAGTCCCAGAAGAGTCCGGCGGAGGTG